GACATTTCGCCTGCATCTATGGCAAGCATCCTCGGAGGTAGCTGAGGTAGTGAGAGGTATCCTCACTACCTCTGAGGATGCTTGCCATAGATGCAGGTGAAACGTCACGAGAGAATGCCTCTAGAACATGGCCATAAAGCCCAAAAAAACCTACAACAACCCAGTAATTCCGGTCATGAAAGCCTTCGACAACTCTTGTCTGCTTGAGGCAAGTTTGAATGTGCAATTGGCAGCCTTGATTAGCATTGAATGGCCTTGCAGCTTTTAAGCCTGGCTGCTTCCTGCCTGGGGGAAAACTATGTTGGTAAGGGAGGGATCCTCTCACCTATGCAGGACTCTACCATATACCATGCAGCTGTGGACAAGACTACATAGGGACCACCAAATGAAGACTACTTCAACCAGAGGAGTCAGCCATAGTAGTGCACTTGGTCAACCAACCTGGGCACAGCATATTATTTGAGAACACAGAAATGTTGGACCACTCTAACAGCCACTACACAGACTACACAGAGATGCCATTCAAATCCACAAGTTTCAACAGAAAGGAGGAAGCCATGAAAAATAAACAAAATCTAGCTAACAGTATTTAAAAAAAAACCCTCTAAGATCAGGACAATAAATAAGGAAAAACACTAAAAAGGAGGGGGAATTCCAGACAATAATCAATCCGGGCCAGCTAACACCACTCAGCAAAAGATCCCAAGGCAGGAAGCAGCCAGGCTTTGAATCTGCAAGGCCAATCAATGCTTTCAACAGACAAGAGTTCTTTCTCCCACCCTGGGCATTCCATAGATATATAAACCCTACTTGCCTAGTTTCCAACAGACCTCACAACCTCTGAGGATGCCTGCCATAGATGTGGGCAAAATGTCAGGCGAGAATGCTTCTGTAACATGGCCATACAGCCCGGAAAACTCACAGCAACCCTGAGAAAGGGATATTTCCCCCTTTTTGTTTGTTCCATTAATTTGAGCTTATTCCCCGCTCTTTTTTCCTTTCGAATAGCAAGGGTTGCCCGTGCCACAACTATTTGTTTTTTGGGGGTTTTTTTGTCATTTGAAGCCCAACCAACCTATTTCCAACCGGTTCAAGGTGGCTCATATGGAGTTTGTATTTTAATATGTTGTCAGTCCTCGTCAACTGGACTAAAAGATAGTGACTGCTTCATCTTGAAGCAGTCAAAAACAACTGTGACAAGCATCTCCCCAATGGAAATTTACCGTGCTATCTTTCTAAATTAGAGAAGTGCTCTTAGGTGATCTACTGTGCCCAATAAAATGCAGTTTAGATAACTTTCTTGGTTTGTTTGTTCATTATGGGGGCATTATGCATCAGGAATGGTCTCTTTTTAAATGATAAAAGGAAAAGGATAAAAGGAAAAATAGGAAAAATTAGAATTACTGTGGTCTGTATATACACTCCAAACAAAAATTAAAATTAAATTAAAATTTAAAATGTTTTAAATTGCCTTGAACAGGCAGGATTACTTTTAATATATGTGTGTTATGGCGACAATTTTAATGCATATTTTGTTTTGTTAATCTTATGGTTATGTTGTTTTTACTTTGTATGTTCTGTGTTTTTTACCTGGGAACTGCTCTGAGTCCCCTCGGGGAGATAGAACGGTATATAAATAAAGTTTTATTATTATTATTATTAAAAACATATATAAAACAGGTATTTAGGAAGATTGATAAGTTTGCAGAAGGGAAATTGTATTGTGCGGGAGATTACAACTTGGAATTAGTACCAACAAGGCAAAATAATAATAGGAAGTTAAATATAAGAGAATACAACATGCATGATCTATTAGAAGGGGAATCAGAGAATAATAAATGGACATATTATTCAGGAATACATGATACATATAGTAAAATAGATTATATTCCTTTTTAAAGTCAGGATAAGAATGTTATTCATCTTGTTCACATTCCTTTTCTAAAAACAGTAGTAAACATTTTTTAAAAGGCCAGATTTGGTCACAAATAAAGACATACAAAATGCAACCTGATACTTGGCTGAAGAGAGAGGTGAAATGAGTTACTGTGTCGATTAGTAGGATTCAATTGGCAATTTAGCCTAGGTGTCACTTGCTAATCGTTTATATTCTCACTTTTCTTTGCATTTCAGCAACTCTAATTTATGATTGATTTATGCCAAAAGTTTCACAATGAGTGAAATGTTTATAAGCTGGATATATGATTGATTATTGTTCATGTTTTGTTTGGAATACCATGTGCCTGCAGATCACATTGCCTATCAGCCTACATATAGATCTGTACATATTTTCCTTCTTTTATCTGATTGGCAAATGATACTGAGGTTTTATTACTATCCGGTGCGGCATGTGGGTTGGGTTGCTAATGAGAATGGTTGAGATCCAGCACCAATTTAAAAATGCACAGAGTTGTTGGAGTTTATATCAGGTTCAGACTACCGTACTTTTCTGTCTGAGCCAGTATGATCCCTCGTGGAGAATGGACTTGTAATCTCCTGCTTGTCACACAATGTAATCTAGATTGGGCTATTTCTCACTTGATCCCCCTTGCAGTGCCTGTAGTAGTGGCTGGAAACATGGGAACTAAGCATGTGAAGCATTTTCTTCTGCTATGGCAATTTAGGGATGCAGAACACTTTGTCAGCTTCAAGCAATAATTGACATTTTGCTGCCTGAAGCAAAGGATGAGATGTTGTCCTTGCTCATTCCAAGACTCAGAGTAGCAGCTGAATTTCACTTCCACTCTGGTTGTGGGAGTGACCTGTTTGAGGACATCAGGTTTGTGTAGAAAGTGTGGGAAAGCGGCATGCCTCCCAACCTGTAATTGCAGGCAGAATCTTCCAATATCCGTTCGGTCTTGGCAGGACTGTCCCCAACTGTTTAATTACATACGTTCAGTGGCAGTAATGGGTGAAAATGTTATAAAGTTAAAACCTAGACATCAAAATATGCCTCTGGAAGTAAATTAGTGAGATGACTAAAAGATCAACTGGACAAAGAACCCTCTATGATTTACCATATTTACTCGATTCTAATGCTTGCCTTTTAAACATATTTTATTAAGTTTTCAAAATACAACAGTTCAAACACATCAAATGTAAAAGATAGAAAATAAATGAAGATATTGAAGAAAAGGGAAAAAAGAAGAAAAGTATATACATTAAAATATTTTGACTTCCATTTTTGTTCTTTGTGGTTCTGTTTTTTTCTCTTTCTCTATTTGTATATCAGGAGAGATTTTTCCTAGAGTTTAATCCCCTTATTTTCTTCCGAAAGATGTTTATCCTCTTTCTTCCCTGAACCAACTTATTTGGTTCATTTATTTATTTGTTTATTTTCCCCTATACTCTTCAAAAAAGTTCCCAGTTTGTTTGTTTTGTTGGTCTTCCTGTGCTTTTCCTTAGCAAAAATGTTAATTTGTCCATGTCTTTTATCTCTAAAATTTTATCCAACCATTGTTTTTTATGGGATCGTATCTACTTTATTTTGCATAGATTATATGTGCCACGGTAGTGATGTATGTGAATAAAATGTACTTGTTCTGGTCAAGCATTAATTCTTTATCAGTTACTAGCCATCCCCTGCCACACGTTGCTGTGGCCCAGTCTGTGTATATGTTTTGTGTATGTATATATATGTATGTGTGTATATGTAGTTTTGTGCATGCATTGTAATGTATTTTTTATTTTTTTGGCTTTTTAAGTCCCTTCCGCTATGCTTTTCAGTGTTTTTGAGTGATGGTCACTCGTTGGCCTGATAGGTATCTTGTGTCCAAGTTTAGTGTCAATTTGTTCAGTGGTTTCTGAGTTATGTTAATCCCACAAATGAACATTACATTTTTATTTATATAGATTCCCAAGAAGTATTCCGGTTTCATTAAAATCTTTCTTTTAAAAATCTTTTGGGATTCTTCCTGTATTAGTCTCCATTATTTAGTGGCTTCTTTACATGTCCACCACATATGGTAGAGACTTCCTACCTGTGATTGACATTTCCAACAGTTGTTCTGGTTGTTTTTATACATTAGGCTGAGGTTTTGAGGGGAGATGTACCAACAGTGAAACATCTTCAACCAATTTTCCTTAAGATCTGCTGAATAGGTATATTTTAGTTTTTACCTTCAAATTTGTTGCCACTCCTGAATCTTTATATTGAAAAAATGTATTTTTTAATAAAAGGTAGGTTCTTTTTAAAAATATTTTTGAAAATATGTGGGGAGTGGTTTGGGGAAAAAGTCCCGTCCCCCCCAAAACAGAAAAGAAAAAGCGGGTGGAGGGTGTAAAACAAGTTTTTTCCAAAATGAAGAAAATGATTTTTTTTTTTGAGAAATTGATTTTTAAAAGTAAAAAAAAAATTGAAAAAAAAATTCTCAACCCTACGGATTAAAAACATGCTTTTGGAAACAATTGGGTTTTAGGGGAAAAATTGATTTTCTTCAAAAGATATTTTTCCACCCCAGAAAGTTGCGGAAAATATTAAAAATAGTGTGGGTTTTTTTTAACTTTGTGGGGTGAGTTTTTCTCTAACCCATGGGGGTTGAAAAATGTTTTTTAAATAAGTGTTTTTGAAAAAAAAATGTGTTTTCTAGGGAAAATTGAGTTATTTCCAATCCCCAGCAGTTGGTTGTAAAGAATGTTTCTTTATGAAAAAAATGGGTTAGAAATAATTGTATTAATAAACAAATCCTCTTTTACCACACACTGCATAGTATTTTATTTCTCCTGTATAAGTTTTCACATGTGCTGTAGATGGCCATTAGTATTTTAGCAATACAAAAAATCCTAAGGGATTTTCTAAGGATGGTATTTGTAGTAAAATTTGCTTGGGAAAGCACAATTCAATAGCAATATTTTCATGTTGCAAAGGAAGAGTAAGCAGACTACTCCCCATATTTATCCTGCTTTTTGTGTGATCATATAGCTAAATGAGATATTTAATACTCATGATTCAGCATAAGTGTTATAATTGCACCCCAAAGTCAGTCACAAGAAACAGAATATTGAAATATATAAATTTTATTTTCTCCACACGATGTCCAACTGTGGGCTGAAGGCTAGAAATACATTCTGCCCAGGTCTGTCACTGCAAGATCTGAAACAATGAAACAGATTACATTATTAAAATCTTCAGAAAACCTACTGCATATCCCTTGCACACACCTCCAAAATGACATAACATATTTGTTTTACATCAGTTAAATAATGAAGAATTAATTTCAAAATTGAGTAAAAATGGAGCAATTTTTACCCTGATTTTCAATGTAACAGTTAGAATGGCTATGTTTCTATCTTCAACATGATACCCAGAAAGAAATTTTTAAAAAACTATTGAAGTCCTTCTCTTCAGAGGACGTAATCTACCCTCTTAAAGATGAAGATTATGTGGCCCCTAGTAAATAATGGTTTCTAGTTCAGAAGAAAGCTTTTAAAACATTAGCATCTTTGCTCTTTTCTGTAGAAATGCCTTAATCACCAATGCAGATTAAGGTTAATACAAATCAGAATCCCTTGAAAATTGCAATCTACTTCAAATCAGTCTCAACTCCCAGTTTATAAATCAAGTTATACTGTGGACCAGGATACATATTATGGAGATCCACTAAGGGGTAACCGCATAATATACATTGCAAACTATTTGTTAAACTGGTTGTCTACCCTCCTGGTGAAGAGCATTTGAATTCTTCCTTGAATTCTGGCTTTCCAATCAAGTGAACCACTTACGACCCACAATGAATTATATTCATTCAACAGTGAATACACTGCTTCTTCACAAAGATTTCTACTTCAGTCTCATGCCATTTCCCTGAAAACAAGACCTAATTGGAAATTAAGCCCTAGCATGATTTTTCAGAAGGAATGTATTATATATTCTCCCCCCAAAATAAGTCTCAATTGAGATTGTCAGCCAGCTGGATGCATTTACCGGTAGTACATCCGTTACAACAGGCATACTGAATTACAAAACAATATTAATGTACTAGCTATCCCCTGCCACGCGTTGCTGTGGCCCAGTCTCGTGAGCTGGAAAATAAAGTAATAAGAAAGTATTGGTTTCTAATATATGTAATGCCTTGATGCTTGTGGGTTAAAAGTATTTCTTGCTGTTTCTTTGTCAGTGTTGATGTGGAGATTGTCTGGTTTGCCTACTCTGGAACATGCAACCTATCATTGTCCTTCCTTAGGGGTCCCTTTCAAATCTATGATACTACATCTGTGTGTGAATCATATCTCTCTCTATATATCTATGGCTGAATGACTTTTTGTCAGGAGGGCTTTGATTAGATTTTCTTGCCCTGGTGAAGGGAGTTGGACTCGATGGCCTTAAGTATTTTCTGTTGGTCATGGGGATTCTGTGTGGGGAGTTTGCCCCAATTCTTCATTCGTGGGGTTCAGAATGTTCTTTGTAGGTGAACTATAAATCCCAGTAACTCCCAAATGACAAAGTCTATTTCCCCCAAACTCCATCTGAGTTCATATTTGGGCATATGGAGTATTCGTGCCAAGTTTGGTCCAGATCCATCATTGTTTTGAGTCCACAATGCTCTCTGGATGTAGGTGAACTACAAGTCCCAAACTCAAGGTCAATGCCCACCAAACCCTTACAGTATTCTCTGTTTGTCATTGGAGTTCTGTATGCCAAGATTGGTTCAATTCCATCATTGGAGTTCAGAATGCTCTTTGATTGTAGGTTAACTATAAATCCCAGCATGACAAAATATTTTTTTTTAGTGATGGTCACTAAGTAGTCTCGTGGCCAAATTTGACGGCAATTCTTCCAGTGGTTTTTGAATTATGGTAATCCCACAAACAAACGTTACATTTTATATAGATAATATATAAACAAATATAAATATTTGTTTATATAAAAAGAATCTGCGAACCCCACCTCCTCCAAGATGAACAGAACCACCTAAACTGGGCTCTACAGGCCAATGGATACTCCACCTCAGACATCAGAAGAGCTGCAAGATCGAGATCAAGCCACGAGAGTAAAGACAAAGATCCACCCAGAAGAAAAGTGTTCTTGCCATACATCAAGGGAACCACTGACCGCATAGGGAAGCTGATGAGGAAACACAACATACAAACTATCTACAGACCTACCAAGAAAATCCAACAAATGCTACGTTCAGCAAAGGACAAGAGGGATCCTCTCACTTCTGCAGGAGTCTACCGTGTACCATGCAGCTGTGGACAAGTCTACATAGGGACCACCAAACGCAGCATTGCCCAAACACGAATCAAGGAACATGAAAGGCACTGCAGACTACTTCAACCAGAGAAGTCAGCCATAGCAGAGCACCTGATGAACCAACCTGGACACAGCATATGATTTGAGAACACAGAAATGCTGGACCACTCTCACAACCACCATGTCAGACTACACAGAGAAGCCATTGAAATCCACAAACATGTGGACAATTTCAACAGAAAGGGGGAAACCATGAAAATGAACAAAAGCTGGCTACCAGTATTAAAAAAACTCTAAAATTACAACAGCAAAACAACAGAGAGTAAACAATCAGGCACATCTAATCACCTCTCAACAAAAGATTGTCCCAAGCACTGCCAGGCCATCAAATGTTAATCAAGGTGGTAAGTTAAAACATTCACACCTAGCTCCAACAGATAAGAGTTCTTTGCCCTACCCTAGTCATTCCACAGATATATAAACCCACTTTCCTAGTCCCAATAGACCTCACTACCTCTGAGGATGCTTGCCATAGATGCAGGTGAAATGTCAGGAGAAAATGCCTCTAGAACATGGACATATAACCTGAAAAAACCTACAACCCAAATATAAATATTATTACATTCATACTTTAAAAAAACCCTGCTATATTATAATTAGGTATTTGTAAATACCCAAGCAGGCGCCTTTGAATGAGAAGTAAACACCTATGTAAGCAGATGAACTCAAAACTTATTGCCAAATGAACCATTAGAGTACAGGCATAACGCACAAATAACATGCACACTTGATACATGAAATAATAAGACATCCCCTGAAAATAAGCCCTAATGCATCTTTTGGAGCCAAGCTTTGTGGAAGGTACACTTACTTTGTGGTAAATACAGTATTATGCATCAATTTTATGCCCATGTTAGAAGGGAAACTAACATTTTTAGTTGAGACATGATTTGAAACAGCGGTTTTCTGGGTTGCTCAAGCTGAAACCATTGCTGATAACTAAGAAAAAAATCCATCTTTTTATGTCACTCATGTACATTCATTCAAAAAGATCACCAACCTGTTGAAAGTTTATTCATCTGCTTGTTGTACAGTTCCCTTCTCAGAGACATAGATACCATCCAAGAATTTTCTGATATCTTTGTTCTTGACTGTGGTGGCCTGCTGGATCAAGGCAGCTATAAAGAAAACGAGACTGGTTCAGCCATCTTATGCTCTCTGTTCCATTCAGTAAAAGATACTACTAACTTCAAATAAAATCAGGCAGCCAGTGGGATGTTGTGGTCTGAGTGCTGGATTAGGACACTAACCCATGGAGACCCACTCTGAACAAATTCTCCCCCCCAAAACCCCCAAATTGGTTTACCTTAGGGTTACTGTAAATCAGAAATGACCTACAAGCACAGAAGTTTCACTTCCAAGCCACATTTCCCCAATTGAACAGAAAACAACCAAAGTTTAACCCAATGTTATTTATTCCATAATACAGTGTTTGACTAACATACCAGAGTTAGATACCAGTTCAATATCATTTCCTTCAAGGATCAGCTCATCCTTCTGGGCTTGAGATACTATACAATTGACGCCTAAAATTGAAAGGGAAAAAAACCAATTTACTCAAGGGTTATCACTGAAAGCTATTATTTCATAAGGCGTTTAATTAAGCAGTGCAACTAATTGATTGACTATTGGAACATGGAATAATGGACAAGGAGATCGGATTATGACTTTACTGATGAGACGTGATGGATTAGTTATATGGATGTATTGATGTTATATTGATGTATTGTTATATTGATGTAGTTATCATGATTACAGTTTTAAATGCTAATGTTGTGCACTTTGTATACTGATTTGGTTGTAAACCGCTCTGAGTCACCTACGGGCTGAGAGAGAGCGGTATACAAATGAAGTAAATAAATAAATAAGGATAATTATTGTGACCTAGGCATCAGGTTGGCTAAAGACAGAAGGGTTGATTCAGAAAAATAAAGGAGAGTCCATTCCCCAGGGCTTAAGTACTTTGCAGAGGTGTATGAGTTATTCATAAGTAGGAATTCTGAAGCCTGCAGTCTATCCACAGCATAATAATAATAATAATAATAATAATAATAATAACAACAACAACAATAATAATAATAACAATCCTTTATTTATACCCCGCTAACATCTCCCGAAGGACTCGGTGCGGCTTACAAAAGGCCGAGGCCCAACACATCAATAAAACAACAGCATAACAAATACAACAATAAACAAACTCAAAAAAAGCAATAGACATTAAAACAATAGCAATAAACATTAGACAATAACACTACGATGCATTTAAAACTAAGGCGGGCCAAATGTAATGATTAAAAATTTTAAAAATGCTGGGCATGACAGGTGAAATGGATAGGTTTTTGGAGATAGGTGCGGTGTGCAGATAATCTTAAATCTCTAGTAAAGTGCATTTGGGACATGATGCTTGGAGTTTCTTATTCTGGGAAGGCACACTGGAACAACCACGTCTTCAAGCTCTTCCTAAAGACTGCCAATGTTGGGGCTTGTCTGATGTCCATGGGGAGAGAGTTCCAGAGTCGGGGGGCCACCACGGGAAAGGCCCTGTCCCTCGTCCCCACCAATCGCGCTTGCGACGCAGGTGGGATCGTGAGCAGGGCCTCTCCAGATGATCGAAGAGATCATGTGGGTTTGTATACGGAGATACAGTCACACAGGTAGGCGGGTCCCAAACCGTTTAGGGCTTTGTAGGTAAGCACCTGCCCCTTGAATTGGGACCGGAAAATGAACGGCAGCCAATGGAGCTCCTTAAACAGGAGGGTTGACCTCTCCCTGTAAGGAGCATCAGTTAACAGCATATTATACTGACAACCAATATTCCATCACCTTTATTTATTTATGACATTTATATGCCGCCCTTCTCACCCCGAAGGGGACTCAGAGTGGCTTACAAGGTATATATTACATACAATGTATTATATTAATAGCATAGTACAATATCAGCATTAAACATTGCTATATTGCACCATACCACTATATTATAATATTAGTAGTAATATTACATGTAATATAAATATATAATATAAAAATGTAATACAATAGTCTGGTTGCTACTGACACGATAAATAAATATTATATTATATTGCATTACATTATAATATTATAAATATTACTAGCTGTACCCACCATGCGTTGCTGTGGCCAACCTTCCCTCCCTCTTTCTCTCCTTTTTTCCTATCTTTCCTTCCCTCCCTCTTTCATTTTAAACAGAGGGCCAGGTCACAGTCCCTCAAACTGTTGGAGGGCCGGATTATAATTTGAAAAAACTATGAATGAATTCCTATGCGCACTGCACATATCTTATTTGTAATGCAAAAAAACACACCTAAAAACAATACAATAATTAAAATGAAGAAAAAAATTAACAAATACAAACTTATTAGTATTTCAGTGGGAAGTGTGGGATCCTTTTGGCTGATGAGATAGGATTGTTGTTGTTGCGTGCTTTCAAATTGTTTCAGACTTAGGTTGACCATGAGCAAGGGCCGGGTATATGACCTTGGAGAGCCGTATTCGGCCACCAAGCCTTAGTTTGAGGACCCCTGATCTAGAATAACAAGTATTACAGATGCTGTTCTTTCAGGTTTTGTTCTCAATCTGCAGAGGTGTTCAAAATGGACCATGGACGAGTACCAATCTTTGAGCCATCAGCTGCTAACTTACAGTACATTTGGGGGGGGGGGGGGGAGGAATTACGGTAATAACATGGCACAATATAGTATTAATCCCTAGTACAATGAAAAAATGGCTTTACAAATAGTTTCAGAAGCAATATCCAGTGCATAACAAGTTCAAGAGAAAACAAATACTTACATGGGACTTTATAGGATTATTTTAAATAATTGCTTTTTGTAGTGACCCCCTCTACCCCCAGATCCCTGTTTCCTTCATCATCATAATTTTATTTCTTACCCGCCTCTCCTCGTGGCTCGAGGCAAGTTACCACATTGCTAAAAACACCTAATCTAAAAACATTCTATAAAATACATATATTAAAACGTATTTATACAAAAGGCATATCAAAACACACAGAACAAAGATTAAACATAAGATGCAAGTTTAAAATTTGTGATTAAAACTGGCTGGGCAGGCCTGCCAGAAGACGTAGGTCTTCAAACGTGTTTTAAATTCTGATAGTTCATTTAGCTGTTGGAGCTCTTCTGGCAGGCCATTTCACAGTCTTGGGGTGGTCAATGAAAGCATAACTTGCATCATGAAATTAAAACCACTGCATTGCCAAGCTTCTTACCTGGCCTCATGCGCACCCGGCGGATGAACTTTTCTCCAAGAAAGTTACGGATTTCTACGAGAGAGCCAGACTCCTGTATAACCACGTTGATGGGGAAGTGAGCATAGACAGACCTCATCTTGTAACGAAATCCCTGAAATCACACATATTTCAATCAAAACAAGAACAGTTTAGTGTTTCTTCAAATCAAAACCTAGAACTGCATAATAAAAGCACTGAAATGGCTTACTTATTATTTAAAATATGGTTAACATATCCTCCTGACAAAGCAGCTCATTTTTATAACCCTTTTCTTGTTGTCGTGTGACTACTTAGAAGCTTTAAAACAGCACAGGAATGGCTGGGATATTGAATGAGAAACAAACTTCAGGCACTGTCCTGAAGCAGAGCATCAACATATTTAGTGAAGCCGAAAAAATTTATCATGCTATCTGTATTAACACTTATTGCAAATTTAGCGATTTCATGTTAAGACTTACCAGTGTTACACCCTTGATCATGTTCTGAACGTGACTGCAGATTGTGCGGACTGTCGCCAGCTCTTTTCTGTTACCCCACCATTTGTCAACACGCAGCTATAAAAACACATCAAGTGGCTCTCTTTTAGTCATAATGCAATACCCCTCAGCAAGTATTACAAACAAAAATTAAAATTTCTTTTCAATTAATACTATAAATTTATTTTTATTGTGCCTGTTTCACTTTTCTGACCAGGGTGTATGTTTTAGCTTCTATCGCTTCAGGATAAGCCACTAATATTAATTTATTTATTCACACTGACACAAAACACTGAAACAAACACACAAACAGAGACAGTGTACAATTAGAAGGAAACACCAATATTACAGAAAAATCAAGCATTATTTTTGTATTACATCATTTCCTACACACAGATATCCAGATACTACCCAGAATTGGTGTAAACTTCAGTTAGTTAGCACCGGGATTGTGGCGCAGCTGGCTAAGTGTCAGCTGCATTAAGATCACTCTGACCAAAAGGTCATGAGTTCGAAGCCAGCCGGGTTGGAGTGGGTTTCCAACCAATTGTTGTCAATCTTTGCAACCCGAAAGACAGTTGCATCTGTCAAGTAGGAAAATAAGGTACCACCTTAAAAAGTGTGGAGAGGCTAAATTAACTGATTTATGAGGCCATAAAGAAGACTCCAGCAAAGCATTCCAGCGGGGAAGCATGTGGGGAATGCGGAAGTGCTTCATCAGCATTACAGATGGATGATGAAAGCGACAGCTCCCCTGGTGGCCAGAAAAAGTTAAATAGCCTCTGTGTATGTCTGTATATGTTGTATGTTAAAATTGGCATTGAATGTTTGCCATATATGTGTACACTGTAATCCGCCCTGAGTCCCTGCGGGGTGAGAAGGGCGGAATATAAAAGCTGCAAATAAATAAATAAATTCTGGCGTATAAGACTACTTTTAAACCCAAGAAAATCTTCTCAAAAGTCAGGGGTCGTCTTATACACGGGTGTAGTCTTATTCATGGGAGTCGTCTTAACTCTATATTTTAACTGGAAAAGTTGGGGGTCGTCTTATACGCCCAGTCGCCTTATATGCCGGAATATACGGTAAATAAGTTCTGACATTCAGATATAACTTATACATGAGAGCTGCAGCCTGTTAAGCACAATTAAAAATAAAATGTAATGACAACCTACATACATGACATTTTGACACTTGGTGATACAAGTCTGCATCACAAAAATTAAGGTTTTGAATTATAGCAACTGGCTAACAGGAAGTGTATTTCTGTTACACTCAATACAAACTGTCTTGACAGTTTGTCACACAAGAAACTGGTCTTTGTGTTTCTAAATTACACAAAGAAATAGACACATTTCTTCCCTACAGCTCCTTCCGGACAGGTGCTCCAGATTCATATTTGCAGCAAGGAAAAAAAAAACAGAAGAGGAGGAAAACCAGAAAGAGCAAAATTAATCACCTTCTTTTAAGTTTTGATTTTACACTCCAAACTTCTGCATCATTCGATACAAACCTCATTTGAGCCTACTGCACAAGCATCCATCAAACCTAAAATAGCCTCACTTAATAAGCAAAACTAAAATGAAATCTGAACACTTTAAAATCAATTCACGTTTTTCCAGCAAAAACAGAAAAGCCACAATTGCGTGCCCCCGCCCCCCTTTTTTGGCAAGAAAGACATTTACCAATGACAGGATATATACATTCATCGAACAATTTATGAGAGACATGTATGTATTAACGTAAAATCTATCAAATGCTCACCTTCCTACGCTTCTTCCCCAAAAGAGAGAGCTCCACGTTGATATGATTGAAGTCCCGTCGGAGGGTTCCTCTGGGGCCCTTGACAATGACTGTTCGCCCCTTCAGGGCAATGTCAACTGCGAGAAGAAAAACACTGTATGACACTGAAGAACTCATGAAATATAAAGTTTTATAAATAAAAAAGCTCAAAGAAATGTACATACCTTTCTCAGGGATGTCAACAGTCTGGTTGCTGAGAATAGTCTTCATTTTGAACCTAAACAAAAGAGACACAACAAAGAGCCATGTATATAATAAAACCACATGGTATTTTATAGTTTTCAGGCAGGAAGCTATGATTAAATCAAGCAGATTTTTTTTGCTCAAATTCATATGCTTTAAGTAGAATATTGCTACAACTATCTTGGCCCACATTTTCTTCACTGACATCAATCAGTAAACATTTGTACGTATATTGGTTTGAGTTATGATAATCTCCATTCAGTTTCAAAGGCAGGCCTCTGCAATGAGCAAAATAGGTGCCATCTATTCTGAATGGCACAACTTGGGGATCACAACCAGATACAATGAAGACATCTGCCCTTGCACTTTGTTACTCTGCTGCTGAGCATGTATGCCCAGTGTGGAACACATCTCACCATGCTTAAACAGTGGATGTGGCTCTTAATGAGACATGCCGCATTATCACGGAGTGTCTGCGCCCTACACCACTGGAGAAATTACAGTTTAGCTGGTATTGCACCACCTGACATCCGCCGAGGAGTAGCAAACAATAGTGAAAGGACCAAGGCAGTGACATCTCCAGCTCATCCCTTGTTTGGGTATCAGCCAGCACGCCAATGACTTAAATCAAGAAATAAATTTCTAAGATCTACAGAGACACTCGCTGGAACACCTCAGCAAGCGAGAGTCCAAAAGTGGCAGGCTGAAACCCAGAACCTCAATCAATGGCTGATACCAAATCAGAGGTGCTGAACAGACTGCACTCTGGCACCACAAGATGCAGAACCAACCTTAGGAAATGCGGCCACAAAGTGGAATCCACGACATGCAAGTGTGAAGAGCAAACTAATGACCATCTACTGCAATGCAACCTGAGCCCTGCCACATGTACAATGGAGGACCTTCTTGCAACAACACGAGAGGCACTCCAAGTGGCCAGATACTGGTCAAAGGACATTTAATAGAATACCAAGCCTGCAAACTGTGTTTTGTTTATTTGTTTTTAATGCAATACAACTGTTTTGGTTCGCTTCTGACACGATAAATAAATTCTGAAAACCATTCATAGAATCATAGAGTTGGAAGAAACCTCATGGGCCATCCAGTCCAACCCCCTGCCAAGAAGCAGGAATACTGCATTCAAAGCAGCCCTGACAGATGGCCATCCAGCCTCTGTTTAAAAACTTCCAAAGAAGGAGCCTCCACCACACTCCGGGGCGGAGAGTTCCACTGCTGAACGGCTCTCACAGTCAGGAAGTTCTTCATGTTCAGATGGAATCTCCTTGTAGTTTGAAGCCATTTTTCCGCGTCATAGTCTCCAGGGAAGCAGAGAACAAGCTTGCCCCTCCTCCCTGTGACTTTCACATATTTATACATGGCTATCATATCTCCTCTCAGCCTTCTCTTCTTCAGGCTAAACATGCCCAGCTCTTCAAGCCGCTCCTCATAGGGCTTGTTCTCCAGACCCTTGATCATTTTAGTCACCCTCCTCTGGACACATTCCAGCTTGTCTCTCTTCAAATGTGGTGCCCAGAATAGGACACAATATTCTAGTTGTGGTCTAACCAAGGCAGAATAGAGGGGTAGCATGACTTCCCTAGATCTAGACCAGTGGTTCTCAATCTGGGGTCCCCAGATGTTTTTGGCCTACAACTCCCAGAAATCCTAGCCAGTTTACCAGCTGTTAGGATTTCTGGGAGTTGAAGGCCAAAAACATCTGGGGACCCCAAGTTGAGAACCACTGATCTAGACACATTCCAACCATCATGGCACAGATAGGGCGTTATATTTTACAGATTGGTACTAACTGCATTGAAATCACAACCTTTAAGCTTCACTAATATTATATGCGACTAATTTCCAGCTTTCATTTTTTCCCAGGCCCAACAGAAGACACAACATCCTGCTAAGCAAATATTGGGGAACTGTTTGGGCTCTTAAGTGGGCAAAACAGTCCGCGCATGCGTAGACGCGCCTGTCTCCCCTCAACGAAAAGAGGCCTTGTTTCTGGCCCTCTTCCCTCCGGAGCCCAGCCGAATTAAAGACCAGAGCTGTTCCCGACACATTCAGAGACATTTGCCTTTGGTTGTCGCGGGGCGTCTACACCACTCAAGTGCCTCCGCTCTTGAGATGGAACCGGATTTAACCGGCCCTCCGACTCCCGAAAAGAGACGCGTCCCTTACCTTTCACTTCACAGAAAGGCGGAAAGGAAGAGCGTGCTGCGTCATCACGCTTTTATACGGCCACGCGACGTTCTCCTGGTGACGCTATTACGTCAGGGATGGGGGACTCGACCAATCAATCGCTACGCAGGACGAGCAGACGATTGCAGAGCTCTGAGGGACGGAGAGAGGCCGGTATGGCGTTGCTCCAGCGAGGCCTCTCCAGCGGGGCTGGCTCTTTGTCGAAGTTGAAGAGGCTGGCGGGGCTGGAGAGGCCGGTGAGTCTCCCGGGAGGGCGCCAGGGCCGCTTCAAGTCGAATGTGGATATTGTGTTGTCATGTCACCTCACACAGGTGACCCTGTTTTGTTTGCGGCCTATCCTGACGTCACGACAGCGTTGCATTAGCAGGTGCTCAGAAATGTTTGGTTTTGGCCTTCCTCTGTGGCTGAGAGAGTTTGGAAGAGGAATGTGTTCTTTTGAAAACGGAGGCCCCATCTGCACTGCAGATGTATTTATTTATTTATCGTGTCAGGAGCAGACCAAACTGTTGTATTGCATTTTAAACAAATAAACAAGCAAAACACAAAGTAGTTGATTAAATGTCCTTTGACCAGTAGCTGGCCACTTGGAGTGCCCCTGGTGTTGCTATAAGGAGGTCCTCCATTGTGCATGTGACAGGGCTCAGGTTGCATTGCAGCAGGTGGTCAGTGGTTTGCTCTTCGCCACACTCGCATGTCGTGGATTCCACTTTGTAGCCCCATTTGTTAAGGTTGGCTCTGAATCTCGTGGTCTGTTCAGCGCCACTGGAGCATTGCAGCACACCCAAATACCTGGGAGTCACTCTGGACCGTGCTGTGAACTACAAGAAGCACTGTCTGAACATCAAGCAAAAAGTGGGCGCTAGAAACAATATCATACGAAAGCTGACTGGCACAACCCGGGGATCACAACCAGAAACAGTGAAGACATCTGCCCTTGCGCTATGCAAGTCTACTGCTGAGTATGCATGCCCAGTGTGGAACACATCTCACCACACTAAAACAGTGGATGTGGCTCTTAATGAGACATGCCGCATTATCACAGGGTGTCTGCGCCGTACACCACTGGAAAAATTACACTGCTTAGGTTCTGGGTTTGATCCTGCCACTTTTGGACTCTTGCTTGCTGAGGTGTTCCAGCGAGTGTCTCTGTACATCTTAGAAAACTATTTCTTGATTTAAGTCATTGGCGTCCCAACTGATAACCAAACACGGGATGAGCTGGAGATGTCACTGTCTTGGTCCTTTCCCTGTTGGCTGCTACTTTCTGGCAGATGTCAGGTGGTGCAATAGACACCGCCTAGACAGTGTAATTTCTCCAGTGGTGTAGGGCGCAGACACCCCGTGATAATGAGGCATGTCTCATTAAGAGCCACACCTACTGTTTTAGTGTGGTGAGATGTGTTCCCCACTGGGCATGCGTACTCAGCAGCAGAGTAGCAACGCGCAAGGGCTTCACTGTGTCTGGTTGCGATCCCCAGATTGTGCCAGTCAGCTTTGATATTGTTTCTAGCACCCACTTTTTGCTTGATATTCAGGCAGTGTTTCTTGTAGGTCAGAGTACGGTCCACAGTGAGTTCCAGGTATTTGGGTGTGCTGCAATGCTCCAGTGGGATTCCTTCCCAGGTAATCCTCAGGGTTTGGGATGCTTGTCTGTTGTTGAGATGAAAGGCACATGTCTGTGTTTTAGATGGGTTGGGGATCAGCTGGTTTTCCCTGTAACAGGCAGTAAGAGCACCTAGAGCTTCGGAGAGCTTCTGTTCAACCATCTCAAACCTCCCTGCTTGAGTGGTAATGGCACGATCATCAGCATAGATGAAACTATCTGTCCCTTCTGGCAGGGGCTGGTCATTTGTGTAAATGTTGAACATGGATGGAGCAAGCACGCTCCCCTGAGGCAGGCCGTTCTTCTGTTTCCACCATCTGCTTCAATAAAGGCAGCAGATCACTGGGGGTAGCTGAAGGGTTACCTGTTTTCTCTTCCTACTCAAAATATGCCTATGGATATAGCTGATTTTATGTTTAGTATTTGGAATAATGCCGCTACCATTTCCTAGGTGCTTGGAAGCAATGTACATAACCAATCTAGACTATCAAGCTCATTGCCAGAAGAACAGAAGGCATCTTTACAAACTGGACCAGATTTACAAGACTTTGTATCTGGGGAGCTTTCAGACAAAACTAAGTGGGCAGATTATAAAGGCAAGTTAAAGCGTCAAAAAGGAGAAAGGTGAGTAATGCTTCCAAATATGAATGACTTTATAACTATCTGCAATTTTATGCTGCTGGCAATAAGATCCAAAGTTTCCCTTAACCTGAATCAAATTTTATATCTTTGTCACTTCCTTATTAAACTAGATTGCAGGCTTTTAAGAAAGCCTAGTGTTGATGTTGTTAGGGGGAAAGGGAGGGAAATGACACATCTATCCAATAATATTTCTGAATTAAAGAAATACTTTATGTCATCCAGAAAGTGGTATTATAGACTGCCCAAATGACCATTTTAACAAGTGTTAAATTTTTAGAGTTCAGTTGTGGGTTGTTGTAAATCCTGCCAGGTGTTGTGAATGATCAGAAATTGACATAACATATTTTTACTATTTGAGGTGTAATTACCGAGTAATAAGAGAAGTTAAAATTAGAAAAAACAGACTATATATTAGAGTTAATAATTGAACACAATTTCACAAAAACTAAGAAACAAATACATTGAATGGTTTTGTTTTATTTATAAATATTATGCTTTTAGACTCAGACTACCTCCGTGGCTGAAAACCGAGATTCCAATTGGGAAAAATTATAACAGATTGAAGAACACACTGCGCAGTTTAAATCTCCATACGGTAAATCTACTATTTATTGAATTGCACTTGAATAGAAATTACTAGACTCAACTTATGCCTTTAAAGGAGTTGACCTAAAGTCCATATTAATTTCAAATGCGAATAGTTCTTTTCCTTGCAATAATACTTATTGTTATAGTCATTGTATTTTCTTGTCTCAAGCAAGGCTGCAAGGATATTCATCTTTCAGGTGGGCTTACAAATGAACATGATATTGCCATATGTGTGATTTATTTCTATAAGGACATATATCCCCCCCCCTCTAGTACTTGCACCTAAGCAAAATAGAAAAAAAATCCAGTAAAATAAAGTCCACCTGGGGAAAAAATTCCAAATGAGTTCATCAGCCAATAGAACACAGCAAAAAGGGTTTGAATTCCCGCTTGACCATGGAAACCCATTGGGTGACTTTGGACATGAATCACAGACCCTCAGCCCCAGAAATCCCTGTGATAGGTTTTCCTTAGATTCACCACCAGTCAGAAACACCTTAAATGCACACAACAACAATAACTATCAAGGAAACTTATTACAGTGTTCGTAACTATTTATTTAACTGTAGGTATGTGAGGAAGCACGGTGTCCAAACATTGGAGAGTGCTGGGGTGGGGGTGAATATGCCACTGCGACAGCTACCATAATGGTAAGTGACAACTAAGTATTTTATTAGGAACAACAATATTTGGATTTCAGATGTCTGTCTCTTGTTGTTTTTCACAAATACAGAATGGGGAAATGGAACAAGGGAACTGTATTTCTAGCCCTTGATGTGACAGTGGCAATATAATCAGACCTCGAATGTTGATTCTTACGCTTTGTTAATGGTATGGCTGAGATTCCTAAGAAGGCTTATTTCATCGTGTTTGTTGTGTTTAAATAAGTCAGCTATATGGGTTTGGGGAGGAGAGAAAATATAGTGTTTGTTGTTTATTCGTTCAGTTGCTTCCATCTTTTTGTGACCTTAGCTGGTCCATTTAATGATATGGGTCTCCCTCCCTAGTCCCTTCCCTTCTCTTAATTGTTTTTGTGCTTTAGCCTTAATTATATCTCTGTTTTCTAGCCTTTTAGATTTTAATGCAAAATGCTTTTATCCAGGGGTCCTCAAACTAAGGCCCGGGGGCTGAATACGGCCCTCCAAGGCCCTTGCTCAGGGTCAACCTAAGTCTGAAACGACTTGAAAGGTCACAGTAACAACAATCTTATCTCATTAGCCAAAAGCAGGCCCGCACTTCCCATTGAAATACGAATAAGTTTATATTTGTTAAAATTGTTCTTCATTTTAATTATTGTATTGTTTAAAGTGTTTTTTGCACTGCAAATAAGATATGTGCAGTGTGCATAGGAATTCATTCATGTTTTTTTCAAATTATAATCCGGCCCTCCAACAGTTTGAGGGACTGTGACCTGGTCCTCTGTTTAAAAAGTTTGAGGACCTCTGCTTTTATGAGACTGTACCCCACTCTCCTTATGCTGTCTTGCCTCAGAGGAAGGAAGGAGGAAAGAAGAGTCTCCCTCCCTTCCTTCTTTCTACAAATGCAAGGTCAATTTCAAAATCTAAAATGGATCTTTTTGGAGTAGAGAGGGAAAATCAGAGCTCCAGAGACCTCAATTTCATAGTTTCAAAACTGCCTTTCCTTCAAGAAAGAAGGGTGAATCAGCTCCAAATAACTCTACGACTATTATGTAAGGAACACAAAAATACCAATTTTACCACTCAAAAATGGGGATTTGACTATAATGTGGTGGTGACTATTATGCAATAAAATATGGGCAGTATTACTGTAGGAGAAACTGCTGTCTCTATGTGATATTCTGTTATATTTGTCAGAATATCTTGGTACCTTAAGAATCAGTACTGAGAAGTAAAATTTTATTTCTGACTTACTTTTATTGCTTTGGTTTTTTTTTCTCATGTCAGGAGCGACTTGAGAAACTTCAAGTCACTTCTGGTGTGAGAAAATTGGCCATCTGCAGTGATATTGCCCAGGGGATGCCCGGATGTTTTACCATCCTATGAGAGGCTTCTCTCATGTCTCCGCATGAGAAGCTATAGCTGACAGACAGGAGCTCACCCCACTCCCTGGATTCAAACTGCCATTCTTTTGATCAGCAGTCCTGCCGGCACAAGAGTTTAACCCATTGCACCACCGGGGGACTCCACTTTTATTGTTGTCCTCCACAACACAGATGCATTCAACACAGCTGAAATTTTGCTCTCAGTGCTGACTTACATCATGCTAATAATATTTTAATAATATTTTAAAAAGCATACAGTTTCAGAGCGGTATTTATACGCTGGTGCCCAATCAACTATTTAAGGAGCCAGATGGTCTGTGAGGTCATAAAAGTGTTAGATCTGTGCATCATAAGTTGCTCAGTCTATTTCTGAAGCAATGAGTGGATTCATTTAAGAATCCCCCAAAATCTCCTGCTGGATAAGATCAAAGGTCTATCTAGGCGACCTTCAAAGAAATGCCTGTGGGGAAACCAAAAAAATCCAGAAGATAATAATAATAATAATAATAACAATAATAATAATACTTTATTTATACCCCGCTACCATCTCCCCAAGAGTCTCGGAGCAGCTTACACGACGCCAAGCCCAACAACACATCAATAAAACAGAAAAGCAATAAACAAAACAATACAATGCAATACAAATGAATATAAATCACATATACAATAACACACAAAGATTTAAAAACCTATGGCCAGGCTAAATGTAATAATTTAAAATTTAAAAAATAAACACTGGGCATGAACAAGGTAGGATATGGACAGTAATCCTCTCTTTCTTTGTCCCCCAGATATTAAGAGGCACAATACCTCTGATCCTGATCTCATCTACTGATTTACTAACACTTTAATATTGTTTGAATTTTTATGATGACGATGCCATGCTTTTTAAATGGTGATTTCAATCATTGCCATTTCAGCTGATGGGAGATACGTGTACGAGAGGTTGTCGCTTCTGCTCAGTCAAAACAGCAAGAAGTCCTCCTCCATTAGATCCTGATGAACCATTTAATACAGCAAAAGCAATAAGCGAATGGGGGTTGGATTATGTTGTGTTGACCTCTGTGGACAGAGATGGTATGTGTGTATTTTTTTTCTTTCTTAAAGGTTACCATATATATAGACAGAGAGAGAGAGAAATTTATGTTTTATGCAGAAACTTATATTTTTGCAGCATATCTCAACTATTTATACACTTACTTATCATTGGGTACAGGCATTGACTGCCTTTAAGCATTTTTCTTTGGTTTTGTCCATTATTATTTACTAGCCATTCCCTGCCACACATTGCTGTGGCCCAGTCTGGTGATCTGGAAAGTGAAGTAAATGAGAAAGTGTTGGTTTCTAATATATGTAATGTATTCATGCTTGTGGGTAAACAGTATTTCTTGTTGTTTCTTGGTCAGTGTTGATGTGGAGATTGTCTGGTTTTCCTACTCTGGAACAGGCAACATATCATTGTCCTTCTTTAAGGGTCCCTTTCAAATCTGATACTACATCTGTGTGTGTGTGAATAATATATATCTATCTCTATCTCTGGATGGATGGCTCTTTGTCAGGAGGGCTTTGATTACGTTTTCTTGCCCTGGTGAAGGGAAATGGACTAAATGGCCTTAAGTATTTTCTATTGGTCAAGGGGGTTCTGTGTGGGAAGTTTGCCCCATTTCTGTCATTCCTGGGGTTCAGAATACTCTTTGATTATAGGTGAACTATAAATCTCAGTAACTCCCAAATGTCAAGGTCTATTTCCCCCAAACTCCATCTGTGTTCATATTTGGGCATATGGAATATCCGTGCCAAGTTTGGTCCAGGTCTGTCATTGTTTGAATCCACAGTGCTCTCTGGGTGTAGTGAACTATAACTCCCAAACTCAATGTCAATGCCCATCAATCCCTTCCAGCGTTTTCTGTTCGTCTTGGAAGTCCTGTGTGTCAAGTTTGATTCAATTCCATCACTGGTAGAACTCAGAATGCTCTTTGATTGTAGGTGAACTATAAATCCCAGCAACTACAACTCCCAAATGACAAAATCATTTTTTTGAGTGATGGTCACTCCTTGGGTTAGTAGGTGTCTTATGGCCAATTTTGGCGGCAATTCGTCCAGTGGTTTTTGAGTTGTGTTAATCCCACAAACGAACATAACATTTTTATTTATATAGATATCAATGAAACATGAGAGCACTCATGCTCTCAGTGCCATGACTTCTTTGTAAAAATAGAAAAATGTGCTACAATAAAGTAATTCCTGTATTCTTTTTAAAGATATTCCTGATGGTGGAGCAGCTCACTTTGCAAAGACTGTTTCTCATTTAAAGAAAATGTAAGTGCAAATATTAGTGAATTTAAATTTATCACTTTTTTAAGAAAAAGATACCCACAGTATTTTGTCCTGGCTGCCCTGCTTACTTGTCTTCTAATCATTTTCCCTAAGCAATCCCAAGATATTGGTGGAATGCTTAACTCCTGATTTCCGAGGGGATCTAAAAGCAGTAGAAGAAGTTGCTTTGTCTGGACTAGATGTGTATGCCCACAATGTGGAGACAGTTCCAGAATTGCAGAGGTGATGAAAGGTGATCGATACACAGATAAAATTTATAAAGCACAGAGCTTTAATTAATTTATTTTAATATTTGATAATTGGAGATTTCTGAATTTGAAAAGAAGTTACTTTTGGAAAAACCGCATTCATAATCTTATTGAAACTAAAAATTATGTCATATCCTTTTGAAAAATGTGAATCTCTATTAACATCTGGAGACCACCTTTTGAAAAGCACTAGTTAAGAAAGGCCTTGTTAGAAGTCAGCCCTTTGAAAAAGTGATGTTCACAAGCATTCATGTAATGGCACACATGAGCCCTGCTACATGCACAATGGAGGACCTTCTTGCAGCAACACCGGAAGCACTCCAAGTCGCCAGATACTGGTCAAAGGACATTTGACCAGCTACCAAACTCACAAGTTGTGTATTTTTCTGTTTGTTTGCTTTGTTCTGTTAGAAATGTAATATAATGGACTGGTTGCTCTGACACGACAAATAAAGCCTTTTGCAACCTCGGTTTCTAAGTGACCCCAAGATTTGTGTATTAGTCATCAACACCCAAACATGTTTCTGTTTGGGTAGATAAACAAGTAATTTATTCCTAAATTAAATTCTTAATTTAGATGAACAACCTTCTTGCTCAGTCAAGCTAATCATTATGATGATTGGAAATATATTGATTTATGTTATCCCTTAGTTTGAATGTTTTGATCCAGTAGTCTTTGCATCAGGCCATGACAATCCAGTTTTTTAACACTCAGAATATTGAATAATAGTCTTGTTCTTAAAGAAATGTTCGTGATCCTCGAGCAAATTTTGACCAGTCCCTGAGTGTTTTGAAACATGCCAAGAAGGTTCAGCCTGATGTTGTTTCTAAAACATCCATCATGCTCGGTTTAGGTGAAACAGATGAACAAGTACACGCAACACTGAAATGTAAGTGTAATGTGTGTTTTCATGAGTTCCCTGCAAATAACCTGCTCCTATTTTTATCTTATTAGAGTCTTTTAATCATTTCATCCTCTACATGTGGCCCGCCCACTGTTATCGTGATTTTGTTTATTGGAATGTTATTTTGTTACTGTGTTTATACTTTTTTTCTTCTTCTATGTAATTTTGATTATGTTGCTTGTTGTTTATGTTTTGATTTTATTTTGCTGTAACATGTTGTCCTGGGCTTGGCCCCATGTAAGCCGCTCCAAGTCCCCATTGGGGAGATGGTGGTGGTATAAATAAAGATTATTATTATTATTATTATTATTATTATTATTATTATTATTATTATTATGTAAGGATTCAGAAGTGCACAAGAAGCTCTGATCCACATACATGGTTTACTGTGTGACTGGCTCTTCTACACTGCCATATAAAATCCAGATTATCTGCTTTGAACTGTATTATATGGCAGTGTAGAGTAATATAATCCAGTTCAAAGTAGATAATGTGGATTTTCTGCTTTGATAACCTGGATTATATGGCAGTGTGGAAGGGCCCTCAGTGGTCTCATGACAGCTGTGTGAATGCACCTTTGGAAGCTTGTGTGTCTGTGTGTGTCGTTAAATCTCCTGTTGACTCATGGCAACCTCAAGCATTTAATATGGTTTTCTTGGGCAAGGAATACTCAGTGGTGTTTTTTTTTTCCATTATAGCTTGCAGAACCTGGTATTCATATGTGGCTTTTCATCTAAGTATTAACCAGGGCTGACCTTGCTTAACCTCTGAAATCAGACAAGATCTGGTGCCTTTCTCAAAACAGTACCTGAAACACATTGGCCATATGCATATTTTTGCTGTTAAGTGCATTACGTAAAATCTATCTAATTAAGCCAGTGAGATTTATCTCCTGGGAGATGTATTTATAGTCAGGAAATGGTGTACCATGAGTCTCTCGCTAATTAAAGGTATTGGTCTTTTTTATAGTATTACGTGAAGCAGATGTGGATTGTTTGACGTTGGGACAATACATGCAACCAACAAAGCGACACTTAAAGGCAGGTATTAATGAATGTACTAAAATGTATTTGAGACTGAAAACACTCTTTCCAGATTGAAGATTTATTCTTCAGTTGGGATATGCCTGTTAGAACAGTTCTGTAGGCAAATAGAGAAATTGCTTTGTTGCAGGACCTGAGTGCATTTACCTCTGGATTTCTCTGTAGGAAGATTTGGACCTAATACTAAAAGGGCATGAATCATAGAATCATAGAATCAAAGAGTTGGAAGAGACCTCATGGGCCATCCAGTCCAACCCCCTGCCAAGAAGCAGGAATATTGCATTCAAATCACCCCTGACAGATGGCCATCCAGCCTCTGTTTAAAAGCTTCCAAAGAAGGAGCCTCCACCACACTCCGGGGCAGAGATTCCACTGCTGAACGGCTCTCACAGTCAGGAAGTTCTTCCTCATGTTCAGATGAAATCTCCTCTCTTGTAGTTTGAAGCCATTGTTCCGCGTCCTAGTCTCCAGGGAAGCAGAAAACAAGCTTGCTCCCTCCTCCCTGTGGCTTCCTCTCACATATTTATACATGGCTATCATATCCCCTCTCAGCCTTCTCTTCTTCAGGCTAAACATGCCCAGCTCCTTAAGCCGCTCCTCATAGGGCTTGTTCTCCAGACTTTTTATCATTTTAGTCGCTCTCCTCTGGACACATTCCAGCTTGTCAATATCTCTCTTGAATTGTGGTGCCCAGAACTGGACACAATATTCCAGATGTGGTCTAACCAAAACAGAATAGAGGGGTAGCATTACTTCCCTAGATCTAGACACTAGAGCTCCTATTGATGCAGGCCAAAATCCCATTGGCTTTTTTTGCCGCCACATCACATTGTTGGCTCATGTTTAACTTGTTGTCCACGAGGACCCCAAGATGTTTTTCACACGTACTGCTTCCGAGCCAGGCATTGTCCCCCATTCTGTATCTTTGCATTTCGTTTTTCCTGCCAAAGTGGAGTATCTTGCATTTGTCACTGTTGAACTTCATTTTGTTAGTTTTGTCCCATCTCTCTAATCTGTCAAGATCGTTTTGAATCCTGCTCCTGTCCTCTGGAGTATTGGCTATCCCTCCCAATTTGGTGTCGTCTGCAAACTTGATGATCATGCCTTCTAGCCCTTCATCTAAGTCATTAATAAAGATGTTGAACAGGACCGGGCCCAGGACGGAACCCTGCGGCACTCCGCTTGTCACTTCTTTCCAGGATGAAGAGGAAGCATTGGTGAGCACCCTCTGGGTTCGTCCATTTAACCAATTACAGATCCACCTCACCGTAGTTTTGCCTAGCCCACATTGGACTAGTTTCCTTGCCAGAAGGTCATGGGGGACCTTGTCGAAGGCCTTACTGAAATCCAGGTACGCTACATCCACGGCAATTTCCCGCATCTACCCAGCTTGTAACTCTATCGAAAAAAGAGATCAGATTAGTCTGGCATGACTTGTTTTTGATAAATCCATGTTGACTATTAGCAATGACCGCATTTGTTTCTAAGTGTTTGCAGACTACTTCCTTAACAATCTTTTCCAGAATCTTGCCTGGTATTGACGTGAGGCTGACCGGACGGTAGTTGTTTGGGTCATCCTTTTTTCCCTTCTTGAAGATTGGGACCACATTGGCCCTCCTCCAATCTGCTGGAACTTCTCCCGTTCTCCAAGAACTCTCAAAGATGGTTGCCAATGGTTCCGAAATGACTTCCGCTAGTTCCTTCAATACTCTTGGGTGTAGTTGATCTGGCCCTGGGGACTTGAACTCATTTAGAGCGGCCAGGTATTCCTGTACGACTTGTTTCCCAATTTGGAGTTGGATGTCCTCAAATCCCTCATCCACTCCGTCTTGCTGAGGTTGAAGATGACTTTCTTTTTGTGAGAAGACCGAGGCAAAGAAGGTATTAAGTAGTTCTGCCTTTTCCCTATCCCCTGTCAGCATTGCCCCATCTTCTCCTCGAAGAGGCCCTATCGCCTCCTTGTTTTTCCTTTTTCTACTGACATAAGAAAAGAAGCCCTTTTTATTGTTTTTAATGTCCCTGGCAAGCCTGAGCTCATTTTGTGCTTTAGCCTTGCGGACCTTTTCCCTACAGGTGTTGGCTATTTGTTTGAATTCTTCTTTGGTGATTTCTCCCTTTTTCCAGTTCTTGTGCATGTCTCTTTTGTGTCTCAGCACAGTTAGAAGTTCTTTGGACATCCATTCTGGCTTCTTTGCACTTGTCCTATTTTTTTCTTTTTGTTGGCACGGTTTGCAACTGCGCCTTGAGTATTTCACTCTTGAGAAACTCCCATCCATCCGTAACTCCCTTGTCTTTTAGTATCTGTGTCCACGGAATGCTGCTCAGTGTTTCCTTCATTTTTTGGAAATCAGCTCTCCTAAAGTCCAAAATGCGGGTTTGTTGATGGAAATATTGGGAAGGAACCCAACATTCCAATTCCCATGAAGTTGATGGGAATATTGGGAAGGAACCCAACATTCCAATAACACTTTTCTTTGCAAAGAGCATCATCAGGAATATTCTGCCTTACATAGGGCATTTGAATTTTGTTGATTGAAGTTCTTCTTGATTTTATATGTAATGTATTACATGTGTATATTGTAAACCACTCCGAGCCTTCAGGGAGTGGCGGTATATAAAATTGATTAATAAATAAAAATAAATAAATAAACAGGGGAAATTGGATTTATGACACTCCAGATGTAGTTTGATTGCAACTCCCATCAATCCACCCTCTAGGAGCTCCACATTTTGTTCTGCTGCAAACGGAATTGAAAAAAGATTCATTTGATATCATTACTGTGTAAGGTTCACCAGATACTAGCCATCCCCTGCCATGCGTTGCTGTGGCCCACTCTGTGTAAATATGTTTTGTGTGTGTATATTTGTGTATATGTGTATATATGTGGTTTTGCGCAAGCGTTATAATGTATTTTTATTTATTTTTTTGGCTTTTAAAGTCTCTTCTGCTGTGTTTTTCAGTATTTTTATGAGTGATGGTCACTCGTTGGCCTGATAGGTGCATTGTGTCCAAATTTGTTGTCAATTCGTCCAGTGGTTTTTGAGTTATGTTAATCCCACAAACGAACATTACATTTATATTTATATATGGTTGGAGTTACACTTTAAAATGTTCCTGTTCTGGTTCACAAACAAATTCAACTTAAGAACAAACCTACGGAACCTATCTTGTTCGTAACTTGGAGATTGCCTTTAGTAGTAGTAATAGTAATAATAATTATTATTATTATAATAGACACAATATGACACGATATAAGGATTTAAAGATCGAACTGCAAAGACTCTGGCACAAGCCAATAAAGGTGGTCCCAGTGGTGATCTGCACACTGGGTGCAGTGCCTAAAGACCTTGGCCTGCACTTAAACACAATCGGTGCTAGCAAAATTACCATCTGTCGGATGCAAAAGGCCACCCTACTCGGATCTGTATGCAATATTCACCGATACATCACACAGTCCTAGACACTTGGGAAGTGTCCGACGTGTGATCCAATACAACAGCCAGCAGAGTGATCTTGTTTGCTGTGTACTAATCTTGTTCTGTTTCAAACAACAACAATAGTATTTATACCCCTCTTTTTCTTCACCAAAGGAAACTCAAAGCAGCTAATAATAAAAGTCTACCGGGTATTGGCTCAGTAGGATGCATCCTTTTACAGAAGCAAGTGGCAATTTGGTTTTTTTTTTTAAAAAAATTGTGCCATAATAAAAACCTTTTGTACTTTCACACCAAAGAGGATCTTGTGTATATAAAGTGGTAACAGTGCCTATTAAATCCATTTTGGTTTAAGCTTGAGAGTTTAAGCACAACATTTGTGTGGTAGTACAGCAATGTGGAAAAGTCAAAGTGGGGTTAATTTAATGCATTGTGAATCTAGACATCTTCTTAGCTCAGTAGCTGTAGCTATTGTAGCTTCTGTTTGTTAAACCTTTCAAAGAAAAGCATTTCTGAATTGTGATCAATACTAATTTGCCCATTCAGGTTGAAGAGTATGTTACTCCTGAGAAGTTTAAATATTGGGAAAAAGTAGGAAATGACCTTGGATTTCACTACACAGCTAGCGGGCCTCTTGTGCGTTCTTCATACAAAGCAGGTAAAAACATGTAATACATTAGATCAAAATGAACTATAAGTCATTTTCGATATTGACGAGTGCAGTAGAGATTTCTGGGTGCATTTCAGTTGGAGGGAGGGGAACTTCTGCCCATTCAGAGGTTGTTTGATGATGATGATGATTAAGGCCAATGTGTGTTGCTTTCAAAAATATTGATGGGGTCAGCCAATTGCCATGGCTTTTGTTTTTTCCTGTTACCTGAAACTTTAAATTGTATTCTTTCTAAGAAGATATATATAAAATTGCAGCCTAAACAACCATACATTTGACTTTATTTCTCTTAAAATTAAGGAAATTGATAAGACATGCAACTTCTACAGTTTGACCCAGCATTTATCCCTGCAGTGACAAAGAGCCAGTGTTGATAAGTCTCCTCTGAAATTATTTTTGCCTACAAAGGTGACGTCGTTCAGTTCCAGGTGAATACTGATGAACATTTCTTTGTTTGTGCAGGTGAATTCTTCTTGAAAAATTTAGTGCAGAAAAGGAAGACAAAAGGCATCTGAATCCTATAGGAGGAATTCTACAACTCTTAATGAGTAATATTCCAGATGGTTGCATCATAAACAAACTGTGTAAGGAATAGGCATTCAGAAGGTTTGTGTTGATTTATCAGAATGAAACACAGCCTTGAAATATTCAGTGGTCTGGTACTTTTTCAAATATAGTTTTCAATAGTTATGTATTTAATGGCTTCAATAATACAATTAATGGCTCTAATACAAGAAAGTGGGTGGCAGAAGCCACAGGAAGAGATATACATACATTTGGAAAATCAGTTAAATGTATATTTGAAATACAGCCATCCTGAGTCGCCTTCGGGCTGATATGGGTGGGGTAGAAATGACGTAAATAAATAATAAATAAAAATCATGAAATAAAAATGTCAGCAAGGCACAGTGTTTTTATTAAAGTTCTTCAACCGTACCAATATTTACACTTCCTTCAGTATTTTAGGACTTTTCATCCTAAAAATCAGTGAACAAGTATTATTACCAGACAGCATTTGGTCAAACTGAAGCAATTTTCAGTCTTGTCACTTTTTGTGCATTATCGTTTTAAACTCTGGATAGGACTAGCTATAATAGTTATTTGCATTGCTAATGTGGAATTTCACCTAAAATTAACAAGAGGCTAGTGGGAGTGTGCATGCCAGTAATAGATTTGAGATTCAGAAGTCATCCATACATGGATATAGGACCATACACGGCACTTGTCTTCCTTAAAAATAATTCATTTACAACATCTGTTTCTAGAAAACGCAAAGCACTATGAAGGTCTCTCTGCAACATAGTCTATCCCGATTTTCCTGTAACTATCACAAGAATTCATCATGTGATGTATTTTTTCATGCAGAAAATTTTACCTATTACTGATTACACATATCATTGGTGCTATAAAGTAACGGTGTCCCTTCATGAACTCGATGCACAAACTGGAATCACAGTGGAAAGTTTAATTAGTTATTGACGTGAGATATATGCAATTAGATCGTTATAGTCAGCTCTGCAAAGTCTCCCCACCCATCCCATTCTCTGCCTTGGGCTTCGGGGGGCAGAAGTGATTGCCATGGCTGCTGCCAAATGCCTCTGAAGTTGCGTCCTATGTCCACGTAGAGCAGTGGGTGGGTTGGGGAGTCATATAAAATGAGGCCTCTTCCCTTCCTCCTCCCCTAGCAGCTGCTACTGTTGCCTTGATTCACGGTTATCTTGCTCACCCTCCCTGCCTCTTTAACTGCCTACCCCACCCTCCCCTGCAACCTGGGCATAGCATGGAAAAGGACTATGAGAGGGCAAATGGGTGCATGGAAAATGGGGTCTTTACTGTTAGTTGTTTCCATCACCTTGGGTCTCTATAGGCCTTGGTCATCCTTGCTACCTCTTTCTCCGCTTACCCTCCTTCTTCTTTCAACCAAAGTGCATGTGGGGACTCCAGGCACAGGGAGGGTAGCTGGGGTGATGGGCATGTGGAGAGCAAAGCCTTTTCTTCCCTTCTCTGCTAGCTGCCTCCTTGGTTCCAGGGGGCTTTGCTCACACTTGCTACCTCCTCATTCATCTTCCCACCCTCTCTACTTGTTTCCCATGCAACTGGAGCACATGTGAAGGTGCCTGGTGTAGCAGGCATAAGCAATCTGGTAATACAGAGAGAGCCAGGGGCCTCTTCCCTCCTTTCTCTGCAAGGTGCTGTCACTGCTGTAGTTGTATCCTATCCCAAGTAGCAAGAAAGGCAGCAAGTAATAAAGTAGACAGGGAAACAAAGGGGTACCGAGCCCATCCCTCCCTTTCCTGGGTGAAACACTTAGAGCACACAGCAGCAGAAGAGGAGCAGGCCCTGTGTGCTGCTGCCATTTCAGGTGCCCCACACCGGTATTTGGCCTTGCAATTCTAAGAGGGTCCCAGAGATATTCATATTTAATTACTTATTAATCACCCTCCATCCGAGAAGCTGTAGGCAATTTACAAGTTAAATTGTAAAAGATAAAAATGCATACATACAAAAATTAATAATTAACATTAACAATTTAACTTGGAAGAAATAATCTGAGGCTGGATCTACACTGCCCTATACCCTAGGATCTGATCCCAGATTATCTGCTTTGAAGTAGATTATATGAGTTTACACCAACAGAGAATCTGGAATAAACATATCTGTGATCAGATCCTGGGATATAGTGCAGTCTTTTGCCAAAATACTGAGTAAAAATGGCGATAGATTATATTGAATATCTGCACCTTGCAGACCAAAGGGCTCCTTTTATCCATGGATCTCTTCCAATCCAATTTAACTGTTCTGCTGGAGGAATGAGAGGAAGATCACTTCTGCTGATTTCTCCTCTGCTGTATCCCCTGAAAATCCACCCAAGCACAGCATGAAAGATAGAAATATCTGTTTAAATTGTTTCTCTGGATCCTCCTTCCCATTGTTGGCATATTCCTAGATGGCAACCAGCTGTAGATTAAATCATTTATATTTGTGATGAGGCCTCACACATTCACAACTAATTTTTTCCAGTTGCCCCTGCTAATGATTCCATATGGTGTTTTTTGATCAGTGCAGTTGAGTAGGTCCACTTATAAAACCTTTAGAATTTTTAAAACATGTTTTCACATGATCTCTCATTCTTTAAGGAATAAAGTATATTTCCAGAGCAGATTTCTGTTCCTCATAATCTCTAATCATGCCTGGAGGGAAAGGTAGAAGTATTTTAGGCCAGAGGTCAGCAATGATTAGGCCAGGGATCCTCAAACATTTTAAACAGAGGGCCAGGTCACAGTCCCTCAAACTGTTGGAGGACCGGATTATAATTTGAAAAAAAAAAACAATGAACCTATGCACAGTGCACATATCTTATTTGTAGTGCAAAAACCACTTAAAAACAATATAATAATTAAAATGAAGAATTTTAACAAATATAAATTTATTAGCATTTCTATGCGAAGTGAGGCCCTGCTTTTGGCTGATGAGATAGGATTGTTGTTGTGTGCTTTCAAGTCGTTACAGACTTAGGTTGACCCTGAGCGAGGGCTGGGTAAATTACCTTGGAGGGCCGCATCCGGCCCCCGGGCCTTAGTTTGAGGACCCCTGGATTAGTCCTTCAGATGGTGAACTGCAAATCATATGAGCTTTTACTAGCCTAGTAAATGTTGTGGTCTAACAAAAGGTGCAGTTCAACAACATTTGGAGTACCACAAATTGCCTAATCTATGTTAGAGAAAACCACTGCAATACAGGTAGTGGTTAATAGTTCTGCACAGTAATTCACTTCTAGACTTTCGAAAACCAATGATGCATTGGCAATATTAATGCTATTTAGCAAGAATTGCAAAACCAATCTATGCTCAAGAAAGAGTAGCCTGGTGTTGGCCACTCAGTTATTACAAAACTCAAGGCGGTGCAAGCCGTTATCTGCAAAAAGATTTTAATTGAACATATTAGTACATGGAAAAATAATGCTAAACACAGATGCTGAATACCAATGATCTTAAAATACAAATTCTGTAATCATAGTGAGGTAGCAACTTGATTCATACGACAAAGTTTTGTTCTGCAAAAGATGCAGAACAGTTGCTTCTATTAACATCGAACATCAACTCAGAGCTTCAATATAGCAGTGAACAAACGACTGTGGGGTGGTCCAAAATATGGCATTGCTTCATTCAGAAAAAAAAAAGTTAAATATCTATCTTGCTTTGGGGGGAATGTGTAGCATTAGAGCTGATGGGCGGCAACTCCCATAAGCTTTAGGCAGCAATGTCAATGCAGTGGGGATTAGTTACCTATTCACATTGCACTTATGAGAATGCCAGTTTCTGGCCCAGTACCCTGGTCACAGAGGAGGAAAAACTTTGGCAGCTCTCTGTTTAAAAGTAATGGCGCTTATGAAACACGTTTAAAAAAGAAGACATATTGTGCATATTTTAAGAAAGTTAGCAAAATGAGGAAAAGTGTAATCGGTAGGTCAGGCTAATGTTTCAGAGTCACTACAGAAATAAAGAAAATGATTTAATTAATTTATGTTCTCCATCTATTTTCATAGCAGTAAGTCCTACTGAATACATTGGGATGTATTCTCAAAGCAAACTGTTAATATGTTAAAATAGTGATCAGGAACAAATCCGTACACTAGGGTGTGGAGAAAGGCTGGTTCGAGCCAGAAGACCAGATTCTCATCCTAGCAAAATGTAGTCATTTAACTTTGGGGACAAGACCATTCTCCCTGACATCCGTAGTTTAAAGGCCAAAATATCAACTATACTTTCCACCTGATGATTTGAAAGAATCTGACATTTTTACCCACTTGCTTTTCAATTTCTTTAGGAAGGCAATTCTTTAGGAAGTGTCTGATTCCTGGCTGCCAAAGAACCTACTCGTTTATCTCGTTCTTTTGCAAAAACATAACATTAATCCTCTTTAAACTACAATGTAGCCTATGCCTTCAAAAGCCACGAAAAGGCATTAGTTCAAGAAATGGGTGCTAGCTTGCTTTAAGCTGCCTTCCAACGTGAGTGGCGTTACAGGTGGTTTTTCACCCTAGTAACTATAAACATAACATTAGCCTCTGGCATTCACTTACTAATAGAATAAATGGTCCTTCATTAACTTGCCCTCGCCCCAATGAGAGGCAAAATAAAAGTTCCAACATACAAGAACATTAAAAAGAACGGGGAAATCCTGTGGGGTTTTTTTCCCGATATGAAAATGTGTCATAAAAATGCTAAAGTGCAGTTTGTCAACTTCTCATAGGAGAAGCTTGAAATTTGAAGCTGATGGGTTTTTTTAATATAAAAATCATTATGAAACTCAAATCAACTGTACCATTTTCACTTCAATTACGGTATATAAAAATAGAGATTATAAAATTCTGGATTGAAATGTCCCAGATACAATCATATACTACTCACGTAAAGTTCTCTACATTATTAGGAAATGCTGAGCACAACACAGCCAGAGTTAAGCACGGCTTAGTTATATTGATTTCAATATGGGACACTTAAGCACACATCTCATTCTTCCATTGATTTAAAAAGTACTTCCATGCTTAATTTTGCTCAGATGTGCTTATGTTCCCCTTCCGAATCATGCTGGTTTATAGTTCATGTGGCGATATCTGTTGCAATCCTTACACTAAATAAAACTTATACTCTTGGCTTCTTGAGCGGGGGATCTTGCAGGCTGAACTTTGGTATATCAGACGAAGATGCAAATGGAATTCTTCTTGCAGATACCTTCTTCCCAATTGTTTCAATCTAAAGGGAATGAACAGAATAGACATTTTAGATACAGAACATATTTTTCTAAAGACGATAGAATAATAATAATAATAATAATAATAATAATAATAATACTTTATTTGTACCCCGCTACCATCTCCCCAAGGGACTCGGTGCGGCTTACATGAGGCCAAGTCCGCAATACATCAATAAAACAAAGGCAATAACAAAATAATCAATACAAAACAGTAAAATAAATCTCAACAAAAATAAACAATAACAATAACATGCAAGCATTTAAAAACCTATGGCCGGGCTAAATGTAATAATTCAACATTTAAAAAATAATGCTGGGCATGAAGGTAGGGTATAACTAGGATAGGTTTTCAAAGAAAGATGAGGGCGCGCAGGCAATCCTAAATCAATGTTAATGTTAAAGTGCATTTGGGGACATATTGCTAAGAGTTTTCCTTATTCTGGGAAGGCACACTGGAACAACCACGTTTTCAGGCTCCTCCTAAAGACTACCAGTGTTGGGGCATGTCTGATGTCCTTGGGAAGTGAGTTAGTCGAGGGGCCACCACCGAAAAGGCACTCTCCCTCATCCCCAGAACAAATGTCTGAAGAGCTATCACACAAGATTGATCAAGTGGATGATTGAGATGGTTTTAAACAGTGGATTTTAATGTTGAGATAAATGATTTTAATGTTTATGTTTGATTATATTCTATGTCTCGGCACTGAATGTTTGCAGTTTATATGTTGTGTTCTGCCCCGAGTCCCATTCAGAGTGAGAAGGGCGGAATATAAATGCTTTAAATAAATAAACAATTTTCTGCCGGCCAGAACAGAGGATCCAAATAAATGAATTTAAATTTTAATAAATAAAAGAGATTCCAACCACACATAGAATTTCCCTAATAAGCAAACTTGTTTTGATAGTGGATCAGACTACCTTAGAAGATTTTTAAGCAGGATGTGAATGGCCATCTGTTAAGAGATGCTTTTATTGTGGATAGGGTTACTTCTAAACATACAAATCAACAATTCTATGAAGGATCTCACTATGAATCAAAATACCTGGAAGCCAATGACTTGCAGCTCGTTATGGAGACCATCGAGGACTCGCCTTCCATCGAAGATGAATGCTGGTTTCAGCATTTTTTTATGAATGCGCTCATAATCCAGCTCCTGCAAGGGACCCCAGAGATTATTTCAGTGACAAGAGTAACTACCATAAGCCACTTTTTTTGTCTCTCTTTTTATAGGGCATTTTGTTTACCTTAAACATGTCCCACTCTGTGCAGATAACAAGGGCATGGGCTCCATCACAGGCTTCATAGGGGTCTGTACTTATGGTAACCAATCGAGACACTGCAGTGAAAATCAGAAAGGAAAAGAATACACTTGAGTGACATATAACCACATTCAGCATTCAAGCCCTGCTAATTTCGGTTTAAAGCCACTTGACCTGGAGGATGTTGCAGGTAACAGTTCTCATCATCCATTAACATTAGCTATGCTGGTGAGATTGATGGGAGCTGCTGGCCAGCACATCTGATGGGGCAACAGCATCCATCCTCTAAAAATATTTTCTAATAAACAGAGACTTGTTTGCATTCTCAAGAGCAGGGGTCCTCAAACTTTTTAAACAGAGGGCCAGGTCACAGTCCCTCAAACTGCTGGAGGGCCGGATTATAATTGGGAAAAAACATGAATGAATTACTATGCACACTGCACATATCTTATTTGTAGTGCAAAATCACTTAAAAACAATACAGTAATTAAAAATGAAGAACAATTTTAACAAATATAAACTTATTAGTATTTCAGTGGGAAGTGTGGGCCTGCTTTTGGCTGATGAGATAGGATTGAGTGTTGTTGTTGTGTGCTTTCAAGTCGTTTCAGACTTAGGTTGACCCTGAGCGAAGGCCAGGTAAATGACCTTGGAGGGCTGTATCAGGCCCCCGGGCCTTAGTTTGAGGACCCCTGCTCAAGAGGTTGGGGAACATAGCAACAGGAGGTTCTGCTCACCTTGATCATCCTCACATACGCCCGGATGAGAAAGATCTAGAATGATTTGTTCCCGTACCACTTTAGGGTCGTAGATATGAAGCTTCGCACCTTCGTCCATTAAATACTTGCTGATATAAATGCTAGAAGACTCTCTAAGAAGAAATTGAACACAGTGTTGTTGTTTTTATTTCTTTGTTTTGCTTGTAAGCCTCCATAAGATATAGTTAGTAATTCAATACTTTCAGTAATAACAAAACATAACACCTGGTACACAGGTGGTCAGGAGGCAGACTGCAAGAAAGTGTTAACCTGTATCGTAACACTGCAACATTAAACACATTTACTAACATGAGCCTTACTGGATACAGAGAGTCTTCCTTCTAAGTAAACATGCTTAGATTTAATGTATTGTCGAAGGCTTTCATGGCTGGAATCTCTGGGTTGTTGTAGGTTTTTTCAGGCTATATGGCCATGGTCTAGAGGCATTGTCTCCTGACGTTTCGCCTGCATCTGTGGCAAGCATCCTCAGAGGCAGTGAGGTCTGTTGGAACTAGGAAAAAGGGTTTATATATCTGTGGAATGACCAGGGTGGGACAAAGGACTCTTGTCTGCTGGAGCTAGGTGTGAATGTTTCAACTGATCACCTTGATTAGCATTTGATTGCCTGGCAGTGCCTGGAGCAAACTTTTGTTGAGAGGTGATTATATGTCCTTGTTTGTTTCCTCTCTGTTGTTGTGCTGTTGTAATTTTAGAGTTTTTTAATACTGGTAGCCACAAAAGACACAAAAAACTCTAAAATTACAACAGCACAACAACAGAGATGAAACAAACAAGGACATCTAATCACCTCTCAACAAAAGTTTGCTCCAGGCACTGTCAGGCCATTAATGTCAAGGGAAAACCTTTACCTTTACCTTACTATAATTTAGTAAGTTTTGTAGAGCAAGGGAGATGATCCGGGCCATACTGAACTAAAGCTCCACTTCATGCCTCACCATGGCTAGGATGGCTAGGACTGATGAAAATTGGAGTTTAACATGAGAAGCAATAGTCTTAAAATAGTTATCTATAGATGTGGATCACTGCCTCATAATGTTTTATATTGTACTTAGTGGAAAGAATTGTGGACTCAAATCCTGAGCTCTAACCTATAAAGCTAACTTTTGGGAAAGTCACACTCTCAAGCTAACCAGCTGCATAGGGATTTAAAAGCATGGTAAACTCTCCCACAGATGCCATCCTGAAGTCTGTGGAAAATGGTTAGGAGTAAAATGTAAGTTCCGGAGCATTCATATGCTGCTGTACAGACATCCTGGGCTCCACCAATGAGAGCAATGTGCTCTGTGAAAGTATGAGCACTTATCAGTCAGGCACAGAAATGGATGTTTCATCCATGTGACAAATTAAAACCTGGATTTTCCTCTAGAGTCCAATAACATTATCCAATGTATATATGCATTTGATTTTATATTATTTTTATTTTAATATTTTAATTTATCAAATTGTTTAATTTTGTTTTTTTATTTATGTCATTTATATGCCACCCTTCTCACCCCGAAGGGGACTCAGAGCGGCTTACAAGATATATATGCATACAATGTATTATATTATTAGCATAGTACAATATCAGTATTATATATTACTATATTGTACTATACCATTATATTGTAATATTATTAGTAATATTACATGTAATATGAATTTAGAAATTTTAGAAAGCAACGGGATCTAGGAGCATCTTTGAGTCTCACTGGGAGAAATCGGCTAGTGGCATTAACATCCATGGACTAAATCTACTTCATTAGACACAGTGGTTTTAGAATAGGTATTTTTGGTTTAAAATGTACTGCTTTCTTGGTTTATTTATTTATTTATTCATACTCTGCCCTTCTCCCAGTGGGGTCTCAAGAAGGCTAACAAACAATTAAATAGTACTGTGTCGATATAAGGATAATATACAGCTAAAATATAATAAATACAATTAAAATCATGTTAGGAACTCACAATCCATCGCAGAATACCACCATAACACTCCCAGCAGCAGCATTTTGAATTGTTCCAACTCATTTTATTATAAGCCTCTCAGATATCTTATAAATATGGTACAATGTTGAAATGTTCTAAATAATAAATAGTACAGTGGGCCCTTGGGATCTACTTGGGTTTTGTTCCAGCACCCTCACTCTCCACAGATACCAATATTCATGAATGCTTAAAGTCCCATTATATAAAATAGCAGAGTAAAATAGAGTCCAATGTTTGCTTTGGGTTTTTTGTTTGTTTGTTTGTTTGTTTTTGTGGAAGGGGATATTTTCCAGATGTGGATGATTTCTCCGATTTCTATGGATGCAGAATCTGCGGCTATGGAGGGCTGACTGTGTTTGCAGACACCAATATTATATCAGCAGTTGTTGAGCCCTTAAATCTTATTGTTTGCTCTTGGGTGACTAACAGATCTACTGAGAAGGACCTAATACTATGTGTTAGAGCTGCAGATTACAACAAAGGGTCTGGAGTGAAGGTGAATGTATTTCTTATCTCCTATCTTCATCAAACCTTCCTCATTCTGTGCCTCATAACATTCCAGCATTTTCATATTACCATAAAAGGAACCTTACTTGAAACTTGTGCCCAGACTGATCTTTCATGTCAGAAATTTATACGAGCAATGTTTGACTTAGGCAGCACAAGTTCAATTTGAATTACAAATGAACACACAATTTGGGCCTTCAACTGGATGGTTTGTTTTAAGTCTGTAATGGGGTTCACAGCACAAAGACATCATGTGGCTGTGCAACACCCCAACCGGATGAAACACTGGCTGCGCAGCGAGCTACAAATGGGTACTGAACTCACTTCAAGGCTAGAGGCAACGACAAATAAATGAGATCACTGAATCAATTAAACTTGATTAAATAATGAAGGTTTTCTGGTTTAACGGGTCAGGAAGAATCTCTTTCTCTATCCAATTATGGACAATAGCCAGGAATGTTTGCTCTTTGCTCATCAAACATTAAGGAACATACATTCTTTAAGAGTGCAGCCTCTCTACATTCTCCCCCATGCAGAATGCCAGGTAAAATATAACAAAAAAGCTTGTGCACATGCTCAAAGTGCGGACCATAAAGCTGAGCTTTATCTCAGTCTTGTGGGACACTTTCCTCTGTTCAAAAGACAGGGTGATTTGTTCAAATAAACCTGTTGAACAATCTCCTAGCTTCCAGTGCTTGACAGGTTTTGAGCCATTTGAGAATAGAACAACATGGCAATGCATCCCAACACTCTATTCTACCCCGGGTACAAGATTTAGATATCCTTTGTCTAGAAACTGCAATCTATTGGAATTAAAGCATAAAACAGTCCAGGCAGTAGGTGATTTTTACAACTGTAAATTATTTTCACTTTGTATTACCTTGTGTCTCCTGTGTCTTTTTTGAACGCAAATCCCAAAATAGCAATCTTCTTGTCTGTGACAGTATTAAATAAGCTGTCAATTATGCGAGATGCAAATCTTCTTCTCTGGTAGTCGTTCATATCTATCACCTGAAAATTATACAGGATACAAGGAAGGAATTACTGATTTTTCTTGTTGGTAGTAACATCTTGTCTGGATGTTATCTGTCACTTTCCATACTAAGGAAAATTCATAAAAGCACAGATACAGAGACATGTATGGAGTTCAAAATAATTATACAAGTGTTTTTTGTTTTTCTATTAGCTTATGATACATGCAAGATAATTGTATGAGCAAAAGATGAAATACAGGAATAAATAAAGGCCACGATGGTGAGCTGAGAAATCTAGATAAGCTCCAGCTCCCGCATCTTGTTTCCAAATGTGTCTGTGTAAGTCTTCCCAAATCTAGGGCCCTTCTAGATGTGCTGCCCTACCAACTCACATCATTCTCATAAACCAAGCCCATGAGGGTTGGGAATCACAGGAGCAATAGTCCAACGTATCTGTAAGGTGTTAGGAAGGTGATCTATTGTGATGGTTAGTGTTTCCATCATTAGCTGAACCTCAGTGGTTAGGGCTTCCATCATTGGCTGAACCTCAGTAACTACCGGTGTCAATTCCAGCACAGCAAGCATCAACCTCCTGAAGGCCAAATATCAACACTGCATCCTTGCACCCAAATTATTTGTCAGATCAATCAGTTGCCAAATCTCCAAATTCTCTGCTGGGCTAGTCTGCCATTGTGAGTCCTGATACTACTTGCTTCCACTGAATTAACCTCCTCCTTAAAGATATATATATATATATAGGAAAACTTTCAATAAAGATGATATTTTTAAAAAAGATTAGGAAGACTTTCCTGACAGTAAGAGCTGTACACAGCAGATCTGTCTGTTTTATTTGGCCAATCTCTTTAAGGAGGAGGTTAATTCAGTGGAAGCAAGTAGTATCAGGACTCACAATGGCAGACTAGCCCAGCAGAGAATTTGGAGATTTGGCAACTTTGATTTGGATGATATCACAATGTAATGACTTGAGAGAAAAATAATAATAATAATAATAATAATAATAATAATAATAATAAAGGAAATAATAAAAATATATAAAATATATACAAAAATATAAAGAGTGACTATAAAAGAACCAGCTCCCTAAGCCATTCTGCATAAGGCTGAGGCCCCTTCCACACAGCTGTAAAAATCCACATTGAATTGGATCATATTCAGTGTGGACTCAAGATAATCCAGTTCAAAGCAGATATTGCAGATTATCTGCCTTGATATTCTAGGTTATATGGCTGTGTGGCCCTTGGTTTCCAAACCTTTGAAAATTTTGGTTGCCCTTATCTGGGCACGGTCTAGCCAATCTATATCCTTCTTGAATTACAGTGTCCTGAACTGGACACATTCACATCACTCTACCTACTCACCATATGCATATGAAAACATACTGATGTGCTAAAGAGGGAGAAAGAAGGGCTGACTTTCAAGAGAGATATTCATTTTCAGCTCTATTCAGATACTTGCTAACAGGAAGGGATAAATATTGGATTGATGGTATTTTGCAAGGGCACAATTTCTACTGTATTTGTTCTTACCTGTTGCCAATAACGAGCTACTTCTGGCAAATTCAAAGCCTCACAAAGATAAACCAGATTCAGAACATCTTTTTGGAAACAGCTGCCACCAAATCCTGAAGAAAGGAGGAAAAATCAAAACTCAGTCTGCACCACAAGGATTTATCTTGGCACCCTGATCCCTATGCACAATCCATTAAAGGTTACACTGCCAAGAGTTCAAAGGGGCTTATTCCCAGATGATTTTTTTTTGTCGTGTCAGGAGCAAGTAGCTTCTGGTGTGAGAGAATTGGCCGTCTGCAAGGACGTTGCCCAGGGGATGCCTGGATTATTTTTATCATTCTTGTGGGAGGCTTCTCTCATGTCCCTGCATAAGGAGCTGGAGCCAATAGAGGGAGCTCATCCGCCTCTCCCCGGATTCGAACCTGCGACCTGTTGGTCTTCAGTCCTGCCGGCACAGGGGTTTAACCCACTGCGCTGGCCAGCATAATGATTAGTCAGGAATGATAGGAGTTGTAGTCCAACATTTTGGAAGCTGCAGATTGATAAGCCCTGCATTTGTCACTGCAGTGATCTTTAGATTTTCTCACTTACTTTGCCCACATGTTCAAGCACATCCTAAATACATCTTTTTAACCTATGCAACTTTATATATATCCAGAAAAATATCTAACATTTGAGACAGCAACATGTGTAATAGATACAAAGGTTTTACTTGAGTTGGCAGTGACTAAAGGTTCCCTCTATCAGCTCCAGCTCCTCATGCGGGGACATGAGAGAAGCCTCCCACAAGGATGATAAAAACATCCCCTGGGCAACGTCCTTGCAAACGGCCAATTCTCTCATACCAGAAGCGACTTGCAATTTCTCAAGTCACTCCTGACACGATGAAAAAATTATGCTGGCTGGGACTTATATAAGAACTGGTTTAGCAATATTCAAAGGACCACAAGCTAAGCATCCTTGGTCTAAAAGCAGCTACATCCAAAGCAGTACATTTTCCTTATTTACCGACACTGGCTTTCAGAAATTTATTTCCAATTCTTTGGTCCATTCCAATGGCTCTTGCAACCTCTTCAACATCAGCACCTGTTGCTTCACAAAGGGCACTTATGGAGTTGATGCTGCTAATCCTTTGAGCCAGAAAAGCATTAGCTGCCTGGATAATGGAAAGAAGAGAAAACAACCTCAAGATGCTACCTTCTGTTCACAAATTGGATGGAAAATAGGTAGTCAAGCACAAGAAAGCAATTGCAACATCTGAATGGGAGCAGGAAAATGCTAGAAACTGGATCACAGAAAATCCCTACTTTCAGTTACACACAAGTAGAATACTTTATGCACAATGCTGGACTTTGGTGCATTAACATATAACTACATTCAAGAACATAATGACTACTACATCACAGCCATAATCCCACACTATCTAACATGTGATATATAATTGCACTGTCCGAAGATTATGCACTGTGCATTTTATTAATACGAGTAAGTATATAATAAAAAACGGGTTTCTAGCTTTTAAGCTTTTGTGGAGATAAGACTTTTACATTTAAGACAACAACACTTAGTGTTGTTGCCTTAAATGTTTTTAGTGCTCTCTGTGGCAAACTCTACTTTCTTCCATGAAGAAAATAAATATGAAATCATCTGTGGCAAGTAATAATAATAATAATAATAAAGAACTTTATTTATACCCCGCCACCATCTCCCCAATGGGGACTCGGGGCAGCTTACATGAGGCCAAGCCCAATCAGTCCCTCCCTAGGGGGTGAGAAGGGTGGGGTAGAAATGTCCAAAATAAATAATAAATCAACAAATTACAGCAAAATAAAACCAAAAATACATGCAACAAACAATATCATAATTACATAAAACATGTGAATACATTAACGTTATAAGATTACAATAAACACAGTCACAGTAACAATGGGTGGCTACATGTGCAAGAAAATTATTTTAAAAACTGGTTAAAAACACGGGTGAGATAAAAGGAGAAGCAGGTTATTTGCAGAGGGGGGCTCATTAAAACGAAGATTGAGGAATCGAGCATTCCCACGAGGGGGGGGGGTGCTACTTGTTTTATAGTACTTGCCACAGGCTACCACAAGATAAAGGACCAATGCTGCTAAACGGATACTTCATTTACTTTTCTGATGTGAGAATGTGAAATTATACTAACCAATTTGGAAAGTTCGGATGACCAGGTATTTGTGGTAAGGATTTTCTCTTTGGGCACCCACTGCTCATAAACAGCACACAGGGCACGGACAGCTTTTTGGCCCTCAGGAGTCTCATCGCCACCAATCAATACTCGGTCTGGGTTTTTTAGATCTTTGATCGCTGTACCTTCTGCTAAGAATTCCGGATTGGACAAAACCTGTACACAAAGACCAAAGATGGGTTTGAGATATGTCCACAAGACCGAAGACCATTTCATGTCAAAATGGCAGCAATCTTACCTGCAAATTTAAGTTGGGTTTTGTATTGGCATCAAAGATGCGGCGAATGCTCTCAGCAGCACGGACGGGGACAGTACTTTTCTCAGTCACAATTTTATAACCGTTTGAATTTTGAACAATCCGCCTTGCGCAAGCCTCAATATATTTCAGGTCTGCGGCACGGCCCTTTCCCATTCCATAGGTCTTTGTTGGTGTATTAACCTAGTTGACAGATAAACAAATAAATAACAGTTGCCTTTTTCCTAGTGGGAATATGAAAAAATACAAAAGTTCCATAAAATAATTAAGAAGGAAATGGAGGAACTATTGGGGATAAAAATAGATTGGAACAAGACACAATTTTTCACTCAGAAAATGGAAGGCAAAGGGGGATTTAAAGAATGGGAAGAAATAATAAAAAACATGATGGATATAATTAAAGCCTCAGTTGCCCTAGGCTGGGAGGACCACAAGAAATGGGATATAAAAACTTGGTATAAATATCTAGCTGACTACCTACTCCAAGATTATATTAGTGAAAGGAAAAGTTATTATAGGATGGGCCAAATCAGAAGGACCTGGGAAGCAAAATGCAAGGGTCTCATTTCCAGAATAAAGGGGAAAGATATATATAAAGAGTTAAATAAGACTATCCTCATGATTGAACAATTGTAATGAGTACAGCAAGAGTAGTAAACTGTTTCTGGGGGGGAAGGATGTGGTGGTGGTGAGACTGGGGAAAAATACTTGTATTTTGACTCCTGAATTTTGAAGATTGTACGTTTCTATGTGTGTGTGTATGTGTACACACACACACACACACACACACACACGGTTGCTTTTTTCTGTTAAGGTGCAGAACTACATTCACCAACTTGGTACTGTCTGGATCAATTATTCCCAGAAAGGCTTTTGGGATTGTCAACCAACACAACTGGAGATGATCCAGCTGGAGAAAGCTGGTCCATAAATGCAAGTTACAGAAGGGGGAGCAAGATTGTGTATACATGTGTGCACGAGAAGTGGGGGGCTGAGATTGAGAGGAATTAAATCTGTAATAAGTTTTTAACTGGAAGGAGATCAAGCAAAGAGTTGAGTGAACCTGTGCACTGTTGCAAAACTGAGAGGAAAGGGCAGAATGATAAGGTCATGACCGGATGAGCAAAGAGGTATTGTGAGCAGAGGCCAAAGCAGATCATATGATAAGTCATAATGTCAATAGACCACATTAGGAATTACACGGCCAATGGACCATATGTGAACTGAGGCGTTTTGTTTAGACCACTTGTACCACACACATATAAAATGTATTTTCAAATATTTATACAAAACCATAACATTGGTTAATTGATTAAAAGATGCGTTTGAATGTTTGTATTTGTTCAGTTGTTCTTCCAGCATGACTCATTGCTCAAAATATCTTAAATATCTACAGAATAATATCTCTCTTTGTATAATCACAAAAAGCAAACTTGAAAAACCAGAAGTGACTAGTAAAATGGTAGTATGAAGCTAGTAAAATTAGGGAAGAGAGCTCCAGCCGTCAGACTCCCCACAGCTCCCCATCTCCACTATAAATGCTTCCCGATCAGGCTTGCTCTCTGACCCCCTACTAGCTTTAAGGATTCTGGTGCTTCTATCTCTTCTTAACTGAGACCCCTTTGCCATCACACCAAGAATTATGCTTTCCTTGATATGGAAGAAGTGGAGCTTAGCAGTGTAGATTCACTCATGGGAATATTGCAATTGTATAATGTAATCAGCACAGTTCCTCACATTCATTTCTTTTTGCTACAACTCCAAAAACCTGCATGGGAGCAGGCTTCTTAGTTGACTTATATCCTATTTATGTGAACAAACACACCCAAGAAAAACTGCCTATGTGACTCCTTCCCATAAAAGAGAGGTGTTTCTTGTATTTGCCCTTCAGTAAGCCAACAAGTTGGATTAACAGTAAGTAAACACCAATACACTCATGTAAAATTTATGAAAGGGCCATTTATGCCACCTCTGCAATGCTGTGTGACCCTTACTATTTCACACATTTTCCTTCTTTGTACCAGCTTTCAGCATACATTTTTACTACTGAGCCTCTTTGTCTTCACAGTTTTCCAATTCTAAAATGCAAATTTATTCTGAGATTGTCGGGAATGGCAAGGTCCTTGGTGTGATGTCAGAGAGGTTGAGAACTCAAAAATGCAAGATAATTCTGAAATTCAAATTAAAATCATCCCCTCCTATGGTTGCAATTTTTGTCCCAAAAAAGGGATTGCAACACAGTAACAGAGTGCATGTTTTGTGCACTACAAATCCCAGAACCCAATTTCTAATCCTCATTCAGGGATGGTAAATTGTCTGAAGCCCTGGAAAACGTGTAAATCAATGCAGACCATATTGAGTTAGAAGGACCAACAGACCGCTGTGGTATGAAAGCATTTTGTGATATTAGTTGCTGTAAAGTTATGAAAAATCATCTAAATTGAGATGGCAACATCTGACTAGGGCATACCAGTCAGAAATCCTATGTGCAGTAGGAGTAATTCAACTGGAACTCAATGTTCTGCAGAGCAAAGAAGCTCAGAAAAAGGTGTAATTTTCTCCCTGGAATAAGGCAATGATTCCTCAATCACTCCTTATGTACTTTCTCTGGAGAATTCCTGACATTTAGAATCATACAAACTGCACACAATTATTGTATCTGTGCACATGTACTTCTGCTTCGTCTCATGAACCCATGCTTTTGGATCCCATAATAAATAGAAGCACTTTTTTGTAACTCCCTTTTTATTTCACTACCCATAAAATAACAGTTGACTGTGACAGTCAAAATAAGAGACCTTTTCTCCCACTTCTGACTGCTACCCATACTGATCAGATTCAAACTATGAAGACAATTATCCATGTCACATTTTTTTTTATTTCTACATACAGGTGTGAAAGCTAGACAGTGATGAGCATTGGGGGAAAAAAACGATTAACTCATTTGAAATGTGATATCAGAGAAGAATTCTGAATACCAGGAATTGCTAAAAAGAGAATGAACTATTACTAAGGCACATTAGGCACAATTCCCCCTAATTCGGGCACACTTTGCATATATCATGAGATGACATAACTTACTGGAAAAGACTGTAATGCTTAGTTAAGTTGAAGGCAGTAGGAAAAGAGAAAGATAGATGCATTCATTCAATATAGGAACCCATAGTCTCAAAACTGTAGAGCTGTTGAGGACTGGGCCTCATTCATTGCCAACCTGATGGAACAACAGCAATTACTTACAGAAATAAATACAAGATCCGCATCTTTAATGGCATCATCTATGTTGGTAGAAAAAAAGAGATTCTGGCCTCGGCAGGATTCAACCACTTCTTTCAGTCCTGGCTGTAAAAAGTAAATAAACCAGCAAATAGTTTCAGTGTAAAAAAATGAGTTTTACATAAGCAAACAGCATAGCTCCCTTCTGCAAATATTACCAAGGTATTAATCCAATAGGTGATTTTAGATACTAGTGTCATGGTTGGTTCACAGTGCTTTCCTCAAAAATACTTAATAGCAGAGATGTCAAACAGGAATCTTCCAGCCCACAGTACTCTTGTACAACTTGATCTGCACTCAAAATTTACATTGATAGCCCTTGTTAATCTCACTACAGATCACTTCTGTTGTTGTGATCTATAGTGAGATTCACAGGGAATAAAAAAATCAATGGATGTATCAGCATGCATTCTTCAAACCTCTGCAACAAAATGAACCCAGGTCAACACAATTTCTTAAAAACCTATTGTCCCTTCTCCCCAGTATAAGGGAGAGCCCTCAGGAAGACATAAAATATGAAATAAAACATGCAAGTGATCTACAGTACAATGTCAGAAGGAAAGCAACCTCTAGATGTGTATATGTCTACAATAGTCCTGTGAAATGAGTTTATCTTGTGTCTTGTAACTGGCTCTGAGACTTTTGTAGATACGTAGTGATTAAAAGTTCTGTTCTCCTGGTCCAAATCCAAGCCTAGTATCTGACATTTCTCTCCTTGACATACCTAGTCATGGTTCTCAGGATTAACATAGACAAGCGGTGGGGAAACACTGGTCCTCCAGAAGGCTCTCTGGTGTGCCAGTCAAAGGCAGAGGATTAAGGGAACTTTCATCCACAACATCTGGAGAAATACACATTTTCCAAAGTATACTAGATACATATTTTGAATTTTGAAACTCCACTCTTAAAACTCTGAAGTGAGATTCTTCTCTAAAACAACTCTCCCTCCATCTCATTGTAGCATTGAATATGTTTTGCTGTCACGTTGCCCACATTCAGCATCTATGAGGGGCTCAAAGACTGCAAAAAGTGGCAGCCATGATGTTAACGGGAGCGGAGCGCAGGGAGCATACAACCCCCCTGTTGCGCCAACTCCACTGGCTACCGATTTGCTACCGGGCTCAATTCAAAGTGCTGGCGTTGGCCTTTAAAGCCCTAAACGGTTCCGGCCCAAGCTACCTATCCGAACGCATCTCTGCCTATGAACCCACCAGGACTTTGAGATCTTCCGGGGTGGCCCTGCTCTTGATCCCGCCTGCTTTTCAAGCACGTCTGGCGGAGACGAGAGATAGGGCCTTCTCGGTGGTGGCTCCTCGGCTGTGGAATGCCCTTCCTACCGACATTAGACTAGCACCATCTTTAATGGTATTCCGCAAAAAAGTGAAGACCTGGCTGTTTGAGCAGGCGTTCGAATAATGAGTGCAATGATTGGTTAATGAACACTGGAATGGATCAATAGATGATGAATCTGGATCATGTTTTTGATGATGAGATGATAGCGAATGGCTATTGTAGAAATTGTTTATTGTTTATTAATTGGGTAATGTGTTAAGTTGTTAACTGTTTTTATACTGTAACATTGAATTCTGCTGTCTCTTATTGCTGTGAACCGCTGTGAGTCGCCTTCGGGCTGAGAACAGCGGTATATAAGTAAGGTAGGTAAATAAATAAGTAAGAGAAGTCAGATATGACTCATTAGCTTTTCTTTTTCTTAGTTCCTTGGGTTTCCCTGTTCTTTCTGCCTTCTGCTTCCCAGCAGCTCCTGCAGAAAGGTACCAACGAAGCTGCCAGAAGCCTAGACATCAATTCATTCTGGGACCAGACTATTTGTACTTCAAACCTATCCATGGGGACTTCTGTTTTTCTTCCTTGTTTATGCAAAAGCTCTCTGGTGAATCCAACCCAGGCTGGTAATTCTTGGATCTCCAGAATCCAGCCGTGATGCCCATGCCCTCATTTCCCCTGAAAGATGCCTCAGCAGTGAGGGCTGATAGAGGAAGAGGTGGCTCTTGCCAGAAGTCTGAATCATTTGCCCGCAGAGAGCCTTTGCATTCAGGCCTAAAGGCACATACAGCCCTAGGATTCTAAATTTCCCACTCCTAATTTACACCTTAGGTTAAAATGCAACTGAAAGATAAATCAAGGCTACAGGACTATCACAAAGGTAACAACATTACTTTACAGTATATTTACATTAAGAACACACTCCCATCACATATTAAGCTAAGAAGAGTCACACATTCTGTCATTAACTTCAGGAAATAAGCAAGTGATTTAAAATACATTATTTTAAAACTGTCTTTAAAAAAATCACCTTTTCTGTTTTGCTTTGGTTTCTTCAAAAGACAAATTAAAAGTAACACAGAGTTCAGTGTGATCCTGTACCACAGCCTGCAGCAATTTCAAAAACAACCACCAACAGGCCAACATTAAAAGGGGCTGCAAAATTATTTGCTCCTATGCCTAGCATGAGAATTTAACTCCATTGTTCAGCTGAGTAAGGCCCACATACTCTTAGATCAAATTTCTCTGCTGGATTGTTTTTGTGAGACCAAGAAAACTGTAGTTCAAAGTCCACAAGGAGAACTCTGGGCAATAAAACAGTGTACATAGATTGTAGGAAGTTCACTTAAGTTTATTAGTTGGCTTTGGCAAGTCACTTGCTTCGCATTTTACTTTGCTGACTTGGAATTGTAAAGGTAAAATGGGACACTGGAGGAAGAATGAGCTATCAATATGATTAACAACAACCACATGCTAAATAAAGAAGCCATGCATTTTTGTAGATGTTCGTAATAATAAGCGGTAGCACCAAGACATGATACGGCAAATACAAGAAAAAGGTGAAAATGTTTTACTATTAAATAAATTATTTACCTCATAAATTGGAAGTGTGTCAGAATTCCAGGCGTTGATCCTAGATTCGTTGACATCAACTACTGTGACCTTAATGCCTGGGCACATATGAGCAATGACACTACATGTTGGCCCACCTACATAACCAGCCCCAATGCAGCAGATCTTCTTGATTTCAAACATGGCAGTTCTGGTGAGAAGAAGAAAAATAAAATTGGAGCAGCTGATCTTACAAGAACACTGAAGTTAAAGAAATTCAAGATAAGGGATGCTCAACTTGTGTACTTATTGTATTGATGTTTTTGTATGTTTTTAATCTGTACTCCTTGCGTCCCATTATCAGGGAAAAGGCAAGAAATAAACAAAATAATAATAAATGCAGGTCAAAATAGCACTCAAGGCAATAGACATGAGTTGTGCTGAATGAGACAGATCCAACTGGCACCATGTTTTCCTTCTTTGCAGAAAGTACTAATTTCTGCATATTATATTTGAGCAAGAAAATTTTGAGAATGAGATTTTTTAACATGTGTAATCTAGAGATTGGAAAAGTTACTTTTTTTAAGACTATAAGAATCCTCAAGTCAGACAAGTTGCTGCATAGGAAATTGGAAATTAAAGTCTGAAAAAAGTAATGTTTCCAATCTATATATATAAATCTGTTAGGTTGGTTCAACAGGACAGCAAAACTCTAAAAAACCCCCAACGAAACTTAACCAAAATTCCCATGCCCATAACACAACCCACAAGGTACAAACATATCTACTCAAAATGAAAAACAACACAACAACACACTCACAAAACGACAAAACAACAAAACTCAAAAAAACCCCAACGAAACTTAACCAAAATTCCCATGCCCATAACACAACCCACAAGGTACAAACATATCTACTCAAAATGAAAAACAACACAACAACACACTCACAAAACGGCAAAACAACAAAACTCAAAAAACCAACGAAACTTAACCAAAATTCCCATGCCCATAACACAACCCACAAGGTACAAACATATCTACTCAAAATGAAAAACAACACAACAACACACTCACAAAACAGCAAAACAACTGAGCATGCGCATTGGTGCCCAGCCGCAAGTTCCCTGGCGTGCGCACACAGTTCCCTCTGCGGAAGCCATGCCCACTCCAAGCCCCGCCGCGCCGCTTCCCGCACACACACCCCCCTGCACGCACACACACAACCCCACGCTCCATCACTCCCCCCGCCGCCGCACACACACGCAACCCCACTCCCCCCGCCGCCGCACACACACACGCAACCCCACGCTCCATAACTCCCCCCGCCGCCGCACACACACACGCAACCCCACGCTCCATCACTCCCGCCGCCGCACACACGCACACACACACACACACCCTGCCGCACGCACACACACAACCCCACGCTCCATCACTCCCCCTGCCGCCGCACACACACACGCAACCCCACGCTCCATCACTCCCGCGCACACACACACACGCAACCCCACGCTCCATCACCCCCCTGCCGCGCACACACACACAACCCCACGCTCCATCACTCCCCCCCGCCACCACACACACACACACAACCCCCCCCCCCCCGCCCGCACACACACACGCAACCCCACGCTCCATCACTCCCCCCGCCGCCGCACACACACACACAACCCCACACTCCATCACTCCCCTGCCCCAATCTTACCTCCTTTTACTTCACGCCACCTCCAAACCCCACCCCGCCCCTTCCCGCCCTGTCAAAATCCAGGAAAGACAGGAAGGAAGGAAAGAAGGAAGAAAGAGAAAGGGAGGAAAGAAAAAGGGGGAAGGAAGGAAAGTTAGAGAAAGAAGGAAGAAAAAGGAAAGGAAAGGAAAGGGAAGGAAAAGAGAGACAGCAGAAAAGAAGAAAAAGGGGGAAGGAAGGAAAGAGGTAGAGAAGGAAGAAAGAGAGACAGAGGGAGGGAAAGAAAAAGGGGGGAAGGAAGGAGAGAAGGAAAGAAAAAAGGGAATGAAGGAAGGAAAGAGGGAGTGAAGGAAGGGGGAAGATGTAGAGAAAGAGGGAGGGAAGGAAAGAAGGAAAGAGAGAAGGAAGAAAAGAGACCAGAAAGAGAAAGAAAAAGGGGGAAGGAAGGAAGGAGAGAAGGAAAGAAAAAAGGGAATGAAGGAAGGAAAGAGGAAGTGAAGGAAGGGGGAAGATGTAGAGAAAGAGGGAGGGAAGGAAAGAAGGAAAGAGAGAAGGAAGAAAAGAGACCAGAAGAGAAAGAAAAAGGGGGAAGGAAAGAAAGAGATAGAGAAGGAAGAGGAGAAGGAAAGATGGGAGGGAAGGAAGGAAGGAAGGAGGGAAAGAAGGAGAGAAAGAGGGAAGGTTGGCCACAGCAACACGTGGCGGGTAAAGGTTGTTATTTCTATTATTATTATGCTATTATTCCTATTAGACTCTGGGGGAATGGGAGAGGTGTCAGGTCCCAGAGGCAATGCATTGCATTATTGTTATTGTTATGATGGTGGTGAAATAAAAGGAAAAAAAGTGAAAGAAGGAAGTAAACAGGGAGGGAAGAAAGGCAAAGGAAGAAAGGGGGAGGGAATGAAGGAAAGAGAGAAGAATGAAACCAAGTAGTGAAAGAAGGAAGGAAGGAAGGAAGGAAGGAAGGAAGGAAGGAAGGAAGGAAGGAAGGAAGGAAAGAAAGAGGTAAAGAAGGAAGAAAGGAGAGAAAGGGGGAGGAAAAGGGGGAAGAATAGGTAGGTACCTCTTTCATAATAGTCCAGATATCTACCTCAACTTTGATAAGTTTTACTATAGGCCACAGCAACGCGTGGCAGGGCACAGCTAGTCTCTAGTATAATTAAATAAGTGAAAAAGCAGACACAAGGGGGGAAAAACATCCACATCACCACCTAACTTGGCAGGCTTAAAAGCCATGTCAGTTAGATGAGAACCAGCCAGCAGAGTGTCACACACCTTCCTGAAGGAACTAAACACAAGAGACTTCTCAACTAACAAAAGTGAATGGTCTTTTAAGAAAGTGAGAGGCTACTTCTGAACTTTCCAGAAGATGTAAACCATGTGAGAAAGAAGGCTGTGCAATGTAAGACCCAGGCTGGCTTATATGAGCACCATAAGACAGCGCAGAAAGTTAGCACATGCATACAACCATTTCCCTTCTCTTCTCTTTCTGAAAAGTATGTGTGCACACATGCGTCTTGAAGTCATTTACTGACCTATGGCAACCGCATGAATTTTACAGTATTGTCCAGATATAGTTTTGCCAGTTGCTCTACCAATTGGTTATTAGCTTGATTAGCAACTGATAAGTAGCATCCCCCACCCCCTAGGTTTTTGCTCCCACAAAAAGTGGCAAAATGGGTGACATGGAGAGGAATCTGCTATGCAACACACCCAAAATATGTGAGAATTTCAGAACTGCTTTGCTTTGTGGACTGGCTGACCTCCTGCAGTTGCCCACTTTAAATTACATGGGTTTACTTCTTCCTCCTGTAATTTGACTTGTTTGAAAGATGTTTTGACTGGATCCTCAGACAAGTACAGCTGTGGTTTATAATTAGTATACACAACCACTCTTTTGTGGCACAGCTCACAAGGTAGACTGAACTTAATGAATCAGCATTCCAACATTGATAGCTAAATTGATCACATCTGATTCTATCTGCTTTTTGAGCAAATGCCTTAACAATATTACACTGTCGGGAGAAGGCACAGCTATTTTGTTTAAAAGAATTATCTTGAAGTTCTTGACCAAAGATACAAACTCTTCTTGCCTATGGAGCCTAGACCACATATAAGTTACTTTTGGATGGCCAATTTCCAGAATCTTCCAACACATATGGACATTATGTTTGGAAGATTCTGGAAGGTGAAATCCTCCAAAATAACTTTTCCAAGCTCTGGACAATTGCTCTGGAAAACTCTAATTGAGACATTATGGAGAAAACTCCTCTCCTATTTGTACTTGGTAGTTGGAAATGCATATACTCTGAACGCTATGAATCTATTATTTGCTATTGCAGAGCATAGAAATGGATAGAATATATGTGGGCAATGTCTTGCTCTTCTGATGTTCTTGGACCACAACTTCCATCACTCTTACACAACTTAAGGCAGGATTTTGGGGTATGTGAAGCCTGCAACAGAGAGGACTGAGCAATGATATCTTTAAATATGTGAAGGTTGTTGCAGAGATGTATTGTCGAAGGCTTTCATGGCCAAAATCACTGGATTGTGGTAGGTTTTTTGGGCTGTATGGCCATTTTCTAGAAGCATTCTCTCCTGAAATTTCACCTGCATCTATGGCAGGCATCCTCAGAGGTTGTGAGGCCTTGTTGCAGAGATGATGGAACAAGCTTGTTTTTTTGCTGCTTCAAGTGGTAGGAGTCAAAGCAATCAATTCAAATTCCAAGAAAAAAAAGACTGCAACTGAATAATTATTACTATTATTATGTTTATTTATACCCCATTTTTTCTTCCAACATGGATACTCAAAGCAGTTTACATTAGAAGCTTTTTAGTAGAGTCTACAATCTACAAATATACAAACATTAAAACTGAATTAAAGTACTGTTTGACAACAGAATATGCTACTTCAGCAGATGGTGAATTCTCCATTGGGGATTTTACACAGAGATTAGATGGCTACTTTCTCAAGGTTAATTCACAGTAGATGCTTACAAGACAGAGATGGATTAGATCAGTGGTTTTCAACCTGGGGTCCCCAGATGTTTTTGGCCTACAACTCCCAGAAATCCTAACAGCTGGTAAACTACCTGGGATTTCTGGGAGTTGTAGGCAAAAAAACATCTGGGGACCCCAGGTCGAGAACCACTGGATTAGATGGTCCTGTATTCCTTTCTAATTCTATGATCCATTATATTGCAGTTGGTGGGAATCTAGCGCATACATAATGCATTGCATTTTGTACACCATGGATTGGCTTCTCAGCAATGTCTCTTATCTCTGCACCAATGGATTCAACCACGTCACAAAAAATATTGGTGCACCAAGCATGCTCCAAGCATCAATACAAAACTGGCATCTGGTGTTTTGCTTTAGACTTCCATAGGCCACCTTCAGGGCCCAGAAAAAAAATCCAGTGTTCCTATGTGGGTAGGTTCCCAAGTGAGTGGCCATGTGGCTTCAAATCTTCACCGACTCATGAGATTCACTTGGTAGCTTTAAATGAATCATTTTCTAACAA